TATCCCAAGCAAGTAAAATTTTGCTGAAGATAATTCAAAAGCAGTTGCAGCAGTACATTGACAGGGAAATGCCAGAATTCAAGCCAGATCAGAAGTGTACGTGGAACAAGGGCTATCATTATTGACATCTGTAGGATCTTGGCTGAACACAAGGAATACCAGAAAGATGTTTACCTGTGTTTTATTGACTACGCAAAGGCATGTGACTATGTGGACCATAACAAATTATGAATAACACTGAAAAGAACAGGAATTCCTAACATGTAATTGTGCTTATGAGGAACCTGTGCAAAGACCACGATGCTATTGTTTGAACAGAACAAGGGGACACTGCATGGTTTAAAATCAGGAAGGGTGTGCATCAGGGTTGTATCCTTTCACTACATTTATTTAATCTGTGTGCTGAACAAATAATTCAAGAAGCTGGACTATATGAAGAATACTGCATCATGATTAGATGAAAACTCATTAATAATCTGCGATATACATAGGATAAAACCTTGCTTGCTGAAAGTGAAGACTCGATACACTTCAACACAGAAAACAAAAATCCTCACAACTGGACCAATAAGCAACATCACGATAAATGAAGAAAAGACTGAAGTTGTAAAGGATTTCATTTTACTTGGATCCACAATCAACACCCATGGAAGCAGCAGTCAAGAAATCAACTGATATACTGCATTGGGCAAATCTGCTGCAAAAGATCTCTTTCAAGTGCTAAAGAGCAAAGTTGTCACTTTGAAGACTAAGGTGTACCCAATCCAAGCCATGGAATTTTCAACAGCCTCACATGCATGTATATAAGGAAGACTACAGAAGAACTGATGCATTTGAATTGTGGTGCTGGGGAAGAACACTGAATGTATCATGGACTGCCAGAAGACCAAACATCTGTCTGGGATGAAGGACAGCTGGAATGCTCCTCAGAAGCAAGGATGGTGAGACTTCACCTCTCATACATTGGTTATGTCGTCAGGATGGACCAGTCGCTGGGGAAGGAAATCATGCTTTGTAAAGTACAGGGTCACTGAAAAAGAAGACCATCAAGGAGATGGATTGACACAATAGCTGCAACAAACATAACAATTGTGAGACTGGCTCAGGATTAGGCAGTATTTTCTTCTGTTGTACACAGGGTCACTATGGGTCAGAACTTAGTTGATGGCCCCTAAAAATAATACACCATGTAGACTTTTTCCACATTCTCTGTGTATATGACCTTTGTGTGAGTCTCTCTGCCCGAAACACTACTACTACCTCCTGCTAACTTTTACCCTTCAAATCTGAACTGAAATGTCACTTTGTAAGGCTTCCTTGACTTCTTAAACCACAATTGCTGTCAATTCAGACTCATGGTTATTCAAGGTGCGTCAGAGTAGAGCTGCGCTCCACGGAGTTTTCAGTAGCTATGATCTTTCAGGAGCAAACAGCTAGGCCTTTCTTCCAAGGTATTCTCGGTGGATCTGAATTGCCAACCTTTCACTTAGTACCGGATGCTTCCTTAACTCCCACCAGGACTCCTTAAAAAAAGAAACCACCACCAAACTCACTGCCATCAAGTCAATTCCGATTCATAGTGACCCTACAGGATAAAGCAGAACTGCCCCATAGGATTCCTAAGGATGACAAGTATTTGTTTAAGGAACAAAAGAATGCCATAGCCCTGGAGTGTTATCTGGACCACGGCTGAAAGACTTCTTGGCTTTACATTACAGGACTCCTATAATCTTCACCATGGCTCTATTACTGTCAGACACTCTCACAATGTAAACATCGTTCCTCTCCATTAGCCCTTGGACAATTCTGAAATGTGCTAAATCCTTGAGCAGATCTGCATACCACTTTTGGCTCCACCACTTCATATTCTCATAATATACATGTTGTTGTTGTTATGTGCCGTGGAGTTGGACCCGACTCATAGCGACCCCTCCTCGGGTTTCCGAGGCAGTAACACTATGAAAGTAGAATGCCCCATTTTCCTTCCGAGGAGTGGCTGGTGGGTTTGAACTGCCAGCCTTCTGGTTAGCAGTCAAGTGCCTTAGCCACTATGCTACCAGAGCTCCTATAATATACATGTTGTTGTTGTTGTGTGCCGTCGAGTCGGCCCCGACTCATAGCGACCCCTCCTTGGGTTTCCAAGGCAGTATCACTACGGAAGTAGGATTGCCCAACCTTCTTTCCGAGGAGTGGCATAGGTACCACAAAATCAAACTCACGGTCGCCAAGTCAATTCTGACTCACAGCTACCTGTGCTGGGTTTCTAAGGCTGTAAATATTTATGGAAGCAGACTGTCATCTTTCTTCCACAGAGTATCTGGTGGGGTCGAACCACTGACCCTCTGGTTAGCAGCCAAATGCTTTAACCACTACACCACCAGAGCTCCTTATATACCTAGGCACTAAGGTGGAAAGTGTGTGTACTCTTGGCATTGAGATAAAGAAGAGCAGTCACTGATTAACATAAACAATATTTTAAGAGTCAAGAAGCCTTAAAGATATTTTTTAAAGAAAATGGAAAATGCACAAAGTACATTATCTGAATTCTGGTCATGTACAGGAAAACATTCTTAAAATATTTTGTAAGCCTTTAGTTTTAAAGCATACAATACTTTTTAATAGCACAAGTACCTGACAGTTTACTGTTTTTTGTACTCACCATTCACAATGAGGAGATTCTACATGGTTTACTCAATTCCATAAGTAAAGCTTTTTTTGCTGTTGTTATAGTATGGTTGTTGTTGTTGTTGTTATGTGTCGTCGAGTCGGCCCCGACTCATAGCGACCCCTCCTTGGGTTCCCAAGGCAGTATCACTATGGAAATAGGATTGCCCAACCTTCCTTCCGAGGAGTGGCTGGTGGGTTTGAACCGTCAGCCTTCTGGTTAGCAGTCAAGTGCTTTAGCCACTATGCTACCAGAGCTCCTGTTATAGTATGGAGTATTTAAAAAAAAAAAAAGGACCCCAAGGAGGTGTGTTGTGTTATGTGCCAACGAGTGGATCTGGACTCATAGCAACCCTATACGACATAGTAGAACTACCCCAAAGGGTTTCCTAGCTGGGCAGTGGGACATTAAAGACAGAGAGAAAGAGAGAGAGGGAGAGAGGGGGAGAGGGGGAGACTGGGCAATAGCCACAGTTCTGCCAATGATTCTGGGTGTTCCTGAGTAAGTCTAAGTCTAAAATGAAGTGTTCATTACAGACAATTCCTAAGATCCCTTCCAACGCTAACCTTTTGTTGACAAATCAACTTACTGTTAATGATTTAATAATGATGTTGGTGATTATACTAAGAACTGTAAAATTGCAAGTATTCACAAAAAACCTGATTATTTGCCTATCTATTTCAGTTAAGGCCTATAGAGGTTTCCAAACCAAATCCACTGCCATGATTCTGACCCACAGTATCTTTCTCCCAAAGTCTGGTGGGTTCGAACCATGGACCTCTGGGTTTGCAACCAAGCACTTTAACCACTGTGCCACCAGGGCTCCTTTATGGAAGCTTAAATGACTCTGAACTATGGTTCTTTGAGACCTAAAAACAGATGTGGTTTGGAAAAGCTAGTTTTTGCGTGATGAGAACAGCTTTAGAATGTGAGTTTTTCCAGCTTTATTTGCCCTCCACATTTATTAAGTGCCCACAATGGACTAGAAAGGTGCGTTGAAAAACTTCATTAGCCAATAAAGCAGAATGATTTTTAGTGCCATTCCTCGAGCCCTAGAATTGCTCTGTTCCCTGATACAAAAGCTCTGGCGTCAGCCAACTGTACAAATGACTGTACTACAACTTGCAAAGATATCTGGGCTCGTCCAGCTCTTCAGATCAAGGTCGGCCTAGTCCGGCCTTTTCGTACCTCTGTTAAAGGTTAGAATGACACTTACTTAGCAAGCGCCCAGAGTAAAGAGGCTAGAAACGCCCCACGTGAATCTCGCCAGCCCCATGCCCCCACTCCCGGAACCTGAGGACCCTCTGGGTTCCTGCCTGGCTTCTCCACAGCCCCTGCCCACCTCTTCACGCCCTTGGGGGCGGTTGCCCTGCCCCCGCCCCCGCAGTCGCTAGCCCGCCCTGACCTCCTCAAACTGCTCGCCCGAGCAGCCGGCGCCACGAGCCTCCAGCAGCTCCCGGAACTGCTCCAGGGTGACGGACTCTTCGCCACGGCCCAGCCTCTCTTCCAGCCAGCGCAACAGCGCGCCGTGGTGCCTCGACACCAGCGACTCACAGGGCGGCGCGGGCCGCAGCGCAGCTGCCGCTTCTCGCAGTCGGGCCGGCTCCAGCAGAGCCGCGGCTGGCGGCAACGCGGGGGCCGCGGGGCCCGGGCCGGAGGTCGTTCCCGAGTCCGCGGCCCAGTTCTGGTGCGGGCCCCAGGCTTCGCCCCCGGCGGCTGCCGCTTCGTCTTCACTGCTGTGGCTCGGAGCGTTCCCCATGGGGACTCCGTCTTGGGCGCCCGGCTTTGCCGCCGCCGCCTCCCCTCCTCGACCTGTCAACCTCCGACGGCACCCGGCGGGCGGGGACGGGGAGGGGACGACGGCGGCGGCAGCAGCGGCTTCCGGCTTCCTCGCCGTCAAGTGAACACTGCTGTCGCAAAGGCGCCGTCAAGCGGACTCGACAAACCCACCGACAGCTAGAACGGGAGAGCCGCAGGGAAGTATGGAACACTGATTTCCAAGAAGTCGTAACGTTAACGTCATCCCGCAGCCTCCCTTGGCACCATTTTTGTTGGGGGTGGGCAATGGACAAGCGGAGGTCTTTGCTTGCCCCACGTTCTCGGAATCTCTTCACTTTCACAAGCTTTGCTAAAATAAGTACGAGAAAGAGTGGGAGTGAGGGAGTGAACTTCTTCCAAGGACTTTCTCCTTTCCGTCCTCTGTTGTCCCCTTAGTGACAGACGGACGAGAGAAATAGGGCGTCGCGCTGGTGACGTCATGGCCGACGTCTCCGCCATCTTAGTTGTGGATAGAAAGGCGGCAACTTCGTAAGTGCCGAGGGGCTGCGACTGTCTAATGCTGAGGGTCCGCGAACGTGAGCTCATGCTGGGGCTGGCCGTAGCTGCAACGGCGATGGTGGCAGCTTGGTTGATGGGCTGGTGGAGTCCCCGCTCTGGCTGCCGCCTTTTCATACCCGAGGAGCTGGCCCGCTATCGCGGCGGCCCAGGGGACCCGGGCCTTTATTTGGCGTTGCTGGGCCGTGTCTACGATGTGTCCTCTGGCCGGAGACACTACGAACCTGGGGCCCACTATAGCGGCTTCGCAGGTATCAACGAGGCTGTCCACGCCTTTCACTGTTTTGGCGCGGGCCAGTCGCTGCCTGCCGGTCGTTCATTCATTATTCATCTGCTTCCCCCTCCCCGCTTCATTAGACCGGCGCTTCGGGCCGGGTTCAGCCGCACAGTCCTTCTGGTCTCTTTATCAGTCGGAACTAGGGTCAACTGTTAGCGGCCTCTAACCTATTATTCCCACCGTCCGGCGTGACTTGTGTTCGAGAAACACATCTGCCTCTTATTGGTTACTTTGTCGCTGTTAGAAGCCCCAGACTGTGCTCTTAAGGCACAGAAATGATTGAGACCCTGCCCCTACCCTCAGAGTTACCCTACTAATTCGAACTATTTCTTAATGTCCCCTTGGAAATAACCATTCTTATCCTTCCCTCACTCCCCGTCCCCCTCTCCGCCCCGTTTCTCCTAAAAATAACATATTTGATTTGAACTGTTCTTGTACAGGTGAACTTGTTTGCCTTCCTTAAAAAAGACTGAGGTGAGTGAGGGTCTGGTCACCTCTGTAGTCCCTCGGTACTTAGCACAAAGCTGTGCATATGTTAGGCCTGGAAGAACATTTGTCAAATGAAGGTCATTCTGCAGTTTTTACAGCTGAGGGGAGTGATGGATAGGATTTGGCTAAAGCCTTCACAACCAAGTACTGGCAGTGCCTGGCCTAGGACCATCGGCCTTTTATACTTTGAGATGTTGCCTGACAAGCCTGGAAGTCAGGGAGAACTGACCACCTTCCAGACTTTAAAAAACAATGCAAAGCAAGCTTAAGGCCAGTGACTAGGCTAGTATTTACATACGCATTTTCCACTGGTCATTATCATAAGGGAATTGGAAGCTCCCTTTGGCAGTTAAATACAAGTCACTTCCATCTCTCCAGAGAGAACTCTGGAAATAAAAGCATTGCCAGAGAAGGAATTAAGTCCAGTTGGTCTTGCCAGGCTCCTCAAGCAATCCTGCAGAGGAAGCGACTTCCCCAGGGCTGCACAGGAATCCCTGGGTGGGACAAAACAGCGAAGCACTTTACTAGCTGAGACGTTGGCAGTTTGAACTAAGAGCTGCCTTGGAAGGTGATCTGCTTCCGAAGGGTCACAGCCTTGAGAACTCTGGTTTTCAAGCACATGGGGGTAGCTGTTAATCGGAATTGACTCAGTGGCAAATAACCGTGAGTCAGAAGCACTGCTGAGATTAGAATCAAAGATTTTTTCTGCCTGCCAGTTGAGGGCACTCTTTGGTTCACTATCCTGCCACGTGTTGACTCAGCTATTCTGGCTGTAGGCACAAGTGTGAGGATAAAATCTTTTATTTCTTTTGCAATGTGCTCTTCTGTCTACTGAGTTCCTGTGTGCCAAAAATCGTTCAGTGTATATTTAGTCAGTACTACCGTGACAACCACAACCATGTGGCCAGAATCCTGCATGGTGCAAATGGTTACCAACTGCTGCTAACTGAAAGGCTGGAGGCCACCCATGGTGGCCTGGTGATCTTCTGGGAAAAAAAATCAGTCATTGAAAACTGTGGATCATGGGTCTATTCTGACACACATGGGGTCGCCATGAGTTGGAATGACTGAGGGCAACTGTTTACCTTGGGCCAGGTGCTAGGAATCAGTGCGCCCCACTGCCCACAGTCTAGTAGGGAAGCAGATAGGTTCATTGGTTTGCTCATTCATTATTATTATTATTTAATACAGCTATAACTCATATAACATAAAATTCACTTTAAAAAAGTATACACTTAATTTTCAGGTCTTAGTATAGTCAGAGTGTTGTGCAGACATCACCACTATCTAATTCCAGAACATTTTCATCATCTCAGAAAAGAAACCCTGTGTCCCCCTAAGGCAGTCACTCCCCATTCTCCTACCCCTGATTCTCTAGCCTTCACTGATCTACTTTCTCTATGGATTTGCCTATTCAGGGCATTTCATATAAATGGAGTCACACATGTGGCCTTTGTGTTTGGCTTCTTTCACTTAGCATAATGTTTTCAAGGTTCATCCATGTTGTAGCATTCCTTTTCATTTCTTTTTATGGCCAAAAAATATTCCATTGTATAGAGGTACCATATTTTGTTTATCCATTCTTCAATTGATGGACATTTGGGTTGTTTCTCTTTGGGGCTACTGTGAATAGCTATTGTGAAACTATGAACATTTGTTTATAAGTTTTTCTGTGAACATATGTTTTCAATTATAAGGTTTTTTTTTGGGGGGGGGAGTATACACCTAGGAGTGGAATTACTGGGTCATATGATAGCTTTTTGAGAAACTGGCAGTATTGTTGTTGTTGTTGTTATGTGCCATCGAGTCAGCTCGACTCATAGTGACCCCTCCTTGGGTTTCTGAGGCGGTATCACTACAGAAATAGGATTGCCCAACCTTCCTTCCGAGGAGTGGCTCGTGGGTTTGAACCGCCAGCCTTCTGGTTAGCAGTCAAGTGCCTTAGGCACTATGCTACCAGAAATGTATTAGGGTTCCATTTTTTCCACATCCTTGTCATTATTCGTTATGTTCTATCTTTTTATTAAGGAGCCCTGGTGGCACAATGGTTAAAGTACTCAAGTGCTAACCAAAAGGTTGATTGTTTGAAAGATGAGGCAATCTGCTTTTGTATAGATTTACAGCCTTGGGAACCCTATAGGGCAGTTCTAGTCTGTCCTGTAGGGTCACTATGAGTTGGAATCGACTCAGTGGCAGTGAGTTTGGTTTTTTGGTTTATCTTTTATTATAGGCATTCTAGTAAGTTTAAAGTATCTCATTGTGGTGTTGATCATTTACATCTCCCTACTGACTAATGGCTCTGGTGGCGTAGTACCTAAGGCATTTGACTGCTAACCAGAAGGCTGGTGGTTCAAACCCACCAGCCACTCCTTGGAAGGAAGATTGGGCAATCTACTTAGGAACTCTGGTGGCATAGTGCCTAAGGCATGTGACTGCTAACCAGAAGGCTGGAGGTTCAAACCCACCAGCCACTCCTCAGAAGGAAGGTTGGGCAATCTACTCCTGTAGAGATACCTCTTTGGAAAACCGAGGGAGGGGTCACTATGAGTCGGAAATGACTTGACAGCAGTGAGTGAGAGACTGACTAATGATATGAACATTTTTCATGTACTTTTTATTATTTATCTTCTTTGATACACTATTCACATCCTTTGCCCATTTTTAAATGGATTTGTCTTTTTATTGTTTAGTTATAAGAGTTCTGTCTATATTCTAGATACTAGACCCTTATCAGATACGTAATTTACAAATATGTCCATCCATTCTGAGTTGACTTTTCACTTTCTTTATAGTGTCCTTTGAAGCACAAAGTCTTAATTTTGGTGAATGAAGTCCAGCTTGTCTATTTTTTTCCTGTGGTTGCTTGTGTTTTTGGTGTCATATCTAAGAAACTATTCCTAATCCAAGGTCACAAAGATTTATACCTCAATTTTCTTCTAAGATTTTTATAATTTTAGCTCATACATTTAGGTCTTGACCTATTTTTTTAAGCTAATCTTTGTATGTAATATGATACAGGCCCAATTTCATTCTTTTGCATGTGGCTATTCATTTATCTCAGCACCATCTGTTGAAAAGACAATTCTTTCCCTTATTGAATTGTCTTGGCACCCTTGTTGGAAATCAGTGTGTTTCATTCAGTCAGTATTTATCAAGCATTCACTAAGGATCAGGTACTACTGTACCAGACACTGGGAAATCAGTATTAAGTGAGTTTGGTGTGTTCTCTGCCCTGATAAAACTTAAGAGACTAGGAGAAAAGACAAACATTAAATAGTTGTCACACAAACAATTAATGTGATGAGTGTTAAAAGGAGAAAGTACTGGTAATTACCAGAGGCTCTAACCTAGTTGGGAGGCGGAGACTGGGGTGGGGGAGTTGGGGGGAGGGGCTTAATTGTGAGAGCTTTCCTGAAGAATCTGGAAGATGAGTAGGAAATAGCCAGGTGAAGAGATGGGGGGAGAGGAAACGGCAGTGCAAGGACCTTGGTGTGGGGAGGAGCTGGGCAGTAGAATTAACTGCAGAAGTCGAGCCTGACCGAGACAGTGAACAGTGAAGAGTGTGTCATGGTGAGGCAGGTGCAGGTGCTGAATAATATTTAAGGAATTTGGCCATTATTATAGGGCAAAGAGAAGCCACTGAAGATTTGTGAAAGGGGCATGACATGATCATTTTGTGTTTAAAATATTAGTGTAAGGGTGAGAATAGCTGCATAACTAAAAAACATAATCAGTTACTGAAATGTACACATAGAAACTTGAATTAGTTTTTGCTGTGCATATTCTAAACAATAAAACAATTTTAAAAAATTATTCTAAGTGTTATACGGAGAATAGATGAGTGGGCAAGAGTGAATGTGGGGAGACCCATTAGGAGCCTGCTGTAGCAGTTCACATGAGAGGTGATGGCATCTTGGCTAGTGGCAGCAAAGATGGAGACAGGCAGACTGATTTAAGAACTATTTAAGGAGAAATTGTAGGACTTTGGGATTGACTGGGCATGGGGGATGAAGGAGATGTCAAGGACTCCATTTCTGGACTGAGCAACTGGATGACATTTATTGAGCAAGAGCAGACGCACGTTTCTTGGGAGTGGGGTTATTGGTGACTGTTAGTTCACTGGGGATATTTTTGAACTTGTGATGTCTGTAAGACACCTAAGGGATGTTGAGTAGACATTTAGATATACAGGTCTGGAGCTCAAGAGAAGTCTGAGCTAAAGATACAAATTTGGTGGACTTTGCTGTAGAGGTGGTATTTGAAACCACGGGAGTGAAAGAAATTGTTAGGTATGAGCATGTGTATAGAACAGTGCTAACAAAACCAAGCCCACTGCCATCGAGTTGACTGATTCATAGTGACCCTATAGGACAGAGTAGAGCTGACCATAGGGTTTCCAAGGCTGTAAATCTTCACAGACTGACACATGAAGTGGCTGGTGGGTTCAAACCACTAACCTTTTGGTTAGCAGCCAAGTATGCAACCACTGTGCCACCAGGGCTCCTGATACAGAGCAGAAATGGTGGAGAAGAATTTACCCTTGAAGCTAGTAGAAAAGGCAAAGCTAATGAAGTAGGAGGGAAACCAAGAGTATAGTGTCATAGAAGCCATGGGAAGTGGTCAGCTATGTTAAAAGTTGCAGAAAGTAAAGGGAAGAGTGAAATGCAGGGCATTCACTTTGCCTGAGGGTGGAGATTAGGGATTTCCAGATGTTTCCCACCAAAGAGACTGCTGAGTTGGTTCCCTGTTGGTGATTTACAACCTAATCCCCGGGCACCTTCTCTCCTACAGGCCGAGACGCGTCCAGAGCATTCGTGACTGGGGACTGCTCTGAAGCAGGCCTTGTGGATGATGTATCTGACCTGTCCTTTTCTGATTTGCTGACTCTTCAGAACTGGCTTTCATTTTATGAGAAGAATTATGAATTCGTTGGTAGGTAGCCCATGGGTCATTTCCACAGATTGCATTTTATTGTCTTGCAATGTTGTTTTGTTGTTGTTGTTGTTTGTTTTAAGGGGCTGGGATTCTTTGAGGATTTGGCTCAAGGTTAAAATCTGAAAGCATGGACGTTTCATCTTAAACTCTGATTGTTAGCGTGGCAGTGAGCATCAGAGGAGGTGGATGGAACACCTGTTTTCCTTACTGTTCTTCTTGGGAGAGGACTGCCAAGCCATGTGCTCTGGCCTCTTGTCCCAACTCTAGCGGTTGCCTACACCATCTGTGAACCACCAGCTTTCCTGTCTCATGTGAACCAGGCATCTGGCTTCACCACACAGCCAGGAAGGATTGAAACCTAAATTTGTGTGCAGTTTTGACAAATTTCCTTTTTGTCCTTGAAGAGACAAATACTAACGTTTGTCCATCCTCAATGAATTGTCTCCCAGATAGAAGACAGTGATGCTAATCAAACATCTGTTACAGCCAGCTGTGCAGGGCACTGTACTAGCTGCTTACTGGTGAGACATGAAGGAACTCACCTGTGAAATGGGAAGACACCTAAAGCTGTCTGAAGAAATGTTAAAGACTCACTAGATTGCTTTGCAAACGGAAGTATGACGGTTGGGCCCTTTTCTCCATCTGTCTGCAGCTCGGACTGCCCCCTGGACCCCACTCAGACACAGCTGACTTCCTGTGGAACACCAGTGTCACTTCATGAGCGAAGTTCTTTGTCTCTTCTCCCAACGCCTCTGAATGTCTGCTTCTGTCATTACAATTCGAGTTACCTTTTCTGAGAACCCTGGCATTTTTAATACTCCTCTGCTCCCTCCACATAAAAGTGGTCCGGACATTTTTCCTAATGTCTGAAGTTTGCGCTTCTGTATTTACAGTCCCCCATTCCATTGTTGGCTTTTGTCATCCCAACCTGTAGCATACCCTTCTTTGTTTTCACTCAGTCTCTCCCACATCATTCCTCATGCTACACCATGTCTGTCTTTGGAGGAACTGTCCTCCATCCATCTATCTGCCCTTCAGAGAGCCTGACTCCCCCTATTCTCCATGCGGCTGCCAAACCAAGGTTGAAACATTGCTGAATTAATAAGGAAAAGAAAGCCCAACACAAGTTAAGTCCTTTGGGCAGAGGATGGCAGACCAAACACTGCATACTGAGACTTGAGGAGCAAACTAGAAAGGTTCCTGCTGTATGTAGTGAGATGAGTGAACTAGTTTCCCTTGAATAATATGCTGGTGGAGGGGTATGTAGGGCCACGTGGTCAGAAATGCCTCAGAAGGGCTTTAGTCAGGATATATTTGAGTGTCTACTGTGAATAAGTGATGGTTCTGGTCCTCGTGGAGTCAGAGATGAGTTGAGTATAGCTCCTGTGTCTGTCAGCTCATTCTGGAGGAGAGGGAAGTCTTCAGGACGTGTCGGGATGAAAGCTTTATAAGGGTTCTCACTGAAGTGAAGATATCCAGGAAGCTATCTTAGCAGCCACACGGCCAGGCCTCGCGGGAAGCTGTGTAGCCTTTTGTCATACTCTGGATGCAGCATTGGCTTGAAAACCCAGCCGGTGGTGACCACCATTCTCATGACAGCCTCTAGAATTCTTTCTCTGTTACCTCTACTACTACTGTCCTCTTTGGGTCTCATGTCTAAAACCCGCCAAGACAGCCTTGCCACCATGTAGTACACAGCCCCTGTGTAATATGTCCTACGCAGGCCTGCAACTAGGACTCTGGTCTATTCATTTATGCATTTAATGAGTATTTCAAATGAATACTCTGTACTAAAACTGTTTTGAGTTCTGCGGCCTTGCCTGGTGCCGAGAAACATCATAAACAAGTAAACAATCAGACACTTCCAATAAAATAAAACTGATGTGATGAGTGGGGGTAGGGGAGGCCTCCTGGAGGAGATGACAGTTAAGCTGAAACCTGGACCATGAGAGGGAGCCAGCCACACAGGGACAAGAGTATTTGAGGCAGAGGGAACAGTAGAGCCTGAGGTGTGGGCAGCAGCTGAACATGGCCAGAGAATAGAAAAGAAACCAGTGGTCTGGCACCTACAGTAAGTGGTGGAGGCGGTGGCTTGAAGAAGTTGAAGAAGCAAACAAAAAGTCAAATCACATATGTGTTGGAGGCTTTGATAAGAAGGTTGTGTTTTATCCAAGTGCTTTCAGAAGCCACTGGAAGGTTTTACGCAGGCACAGTGGTGATATGATTCATGTTTTCAGAAGCTGGTTTGTGGAGACTGAACTGTAGGAAGGCATAAGCTGAAGTAGAGAGGCCAGTTGGGAGACTCGTGTGGTAAGTCCATGGTTTGGCTGAGGGTGGCAGCAGCGGAAATGGAAAGGAATGGACAGAATCAGACTGTATTTTAGAGGCAAGGCTGACAAGACTTGCTAATTTGTTAATGATTTAGATGTGGAGGAGTCAGATCTAGGGCTCCCAATCTAGGTAACAAAGGCTGTGACATTAATAGAATAAGGGAAGTACACATAGGGAGCTGGGCCTGAGAGAAGGCACATGCTGAAGCTAAGTGCCATTTGGAATTTAATTTAGAGTTAGTTCTTAGAGGCTCAAGAGGAGATCCACCAGCTGGGGGCTGGTATCCATTGGTGCTGCCTCCTACTTGGTCACACCACCCAGGAATGCTTTTAGCTGCTGCTCTTGCCCTGTGACAGAAGCTGCCTGTGAAGGCCAGTTGTACCTCAGGACTTGCAGGTAAAAGTCCCTGCACTGTGGGAGAATGGATCCTTTCTTAGCTCTGGTCTGTAGGCTGGCAGACCACTTGCTGGCTGCTGCCATAGCTGAGACCTTTAAAATTTCTGACAGGAATATGTGGGGGGACACCAAAACCAAACCCACTGCCATTGAGTTGATTCTGACTCATAATGACCCTTTAGGACGAGTAGAATGGCCACACAGGGTTCCAAGGCTATAAATCTTAATGGAAGCAGACTGCTTCATCTTTCTCCCACAGAGTAAGCTGGTGGGTTTGAACCACCAGCCTTTTGGTTAGTAGCCAAATACTCTAACCACTGCCCTGCCAGAGTTCCTTGGGGGTGAGGGGGAGTAGAAGCAAGTGTAAATAAAAACCAGTTTCCACTCACTTATGTCCACAGACGGCCTGACCCAGAAGAGAGTGATGGAGGTGAGAACATGGAGTCAGACCACTCAACTAGCTACATAAACTTCCTAAGTTATTCGATCTCCTAGTCTGTTTACTATGAACATGGGAACAATGATTTCTCTGTCATAGCACTGTTATGAGGATTTAAAAGAATATTAGGAAAGTGCTAGCATAGTGCCTGGCACAGCAAATGCTCCAAAAAGTGGCTTATTTATGGTTACGTAAGATAAAATAATTGAATGTTGGTAAGAATTGAGTTACAAAAATGTTAGCCAATTAGCTATTCATTCATCAAAACTTTACTGAATACCTGCTATGTGCCCCAAGCACTGTGAAGCTTGAGAAATGAATCCTTTATGGTTCTACCCTCAGGGAACCGACATCTGGAAGTCAGAAGGATTCTGTAATTTCCATAAGGAGGACTAGGACAAGGGTGCTTCTATCAGGGACCTCATAAGATGTTGAGAGAGGTTGGGACAGAAGGCACCGAAAGTCCTTCCAATATGAGGTCTTAATAAGTAAGCACCCTACAGGCTATTACAGAGCCTGAAGCGGGCGGGGAGCAGAAACCCTGGGACCTGAGTCTCACTGACGGCTTGAAGAAGCTAAGCATCTGTGTGTGCCTCGCTCCCACTGTCACCCTGACCTCAGTGTTCCCGTCACCACAGGAAAGGTGATAGGAAGGTTCTATGGAGAGGATGGGCTACCCACCCCAGCACTGACCCTGGTAGAAGCCATGATCATTAAAGGCTTGGAGGCAAGTGAACAGGAAATGAAAGAGAAGCAGAAGTTTCCGCCGTGCAATGCTGAGTGGAGCTCAACTAGGGGCACCCGGTTCTGGTGTTCCCAAAAGAGGTAAACAGGTTTCCCTCTGTCCCCCTCCTCTCCCAGATCAGATCCTGGTCATCCTGTACGTTTTCAGTGAAGCCACAGCTGTTCACCCAGGGACTGTTCCCCCAGTACAAATGCTCTGGGGTAGAGAGGTTCTCAGCTTTGACTGCATATTAGAGTCTTCTGGGAAATTTAAAAAATAACAATGGTGGGTCTTCACTCCAGATAACTGAATGAGAGTACTACAGTTGAGACCAGGGCATCTTATTTATTTATTTTTTTTAACTCCCCAAAGATTCTGCTGAAGAAACCCTGGCCTCAGAATGAGAAGGCAAAAGTACTGTTTCTCACAGGGCCTCGGTCTCCTGTATGGAAAGAGGGCTGAGGAGGAGGAGGAGTGCTTATGGTGATGCCCTGAGGTGGCCTTAAAAATACTGCCAATTCTGAATACCACCCAGCTGATGGTACAGTCCTTTCCTGTAGGAGTAAAACGAGGTGAGCCAGATGAGAAATGATGCCATGAGGATAATTCTGAGTTAGTTTGGGAAGTTGAGAAAAAAAAAATTTCCTTCTGTGATCATGAGGCCAGCCTGGACTGAAACGGCTGCTTAAGTCCCTCAGACCTCCTTTCTCTGGAAACGGGATGAAGGAAGCAAGAAACTGAACAAATACCTCTAGCTTCAAGGGCCTTAAAGGAAGAATCCAGCTCCCACTGAGGACAGCAGGGAAATCTCTGCTCATGCTTGGCAGGGTGAGAGGAATGACTCTGTACTTATTGAATTGTTGTTGTTATGTGCCATTGAGTCGGCCCCGACTCATAGCGACCCCTCCTTGGGTTGCCAAGGCAGTATCACTACAGAAGTAGATTGCCCAGTCTTCCTTCCGAGGAGTGGCTGGTGGGTTTGAACCGCCAGCCTTCTGGTTAGCAGTCAAGTGCCTTAGGCACTATGCTACCAGAGCTCCTTGTTGAACTGTAGACCTGTGTTTTTCAGCAAGGATAGGCCATACCTTCTTGCTGTCCTTGAGAGTGACTCATCGTACCGATGAGCAAACAGCCGAAGCCACTACTTTTCTCTAGGCCCAGCTTCGGTATCCATCAATCATCACACATTTCCCTGCATAAATTCAGGGGAGCAGGGGTGAAGCTAGCAGGAAAGAAAGCCCCTTCTCTCCTGGGCCACTAGTTTTGAAGAGAGCTTCTCCAGTGCTGTCGTGTCTTGAGAAAGGGAAGGAGGGGGCTGTGAGAACCTGGCCTGGCCGCTTAGAGGTAGGTGCTAGGACAGAAAGGAGCCTTGCTAGGGCATAAACCCAAACGCAGGTGACCGTAACACTGTTCCCCTGTGAGTGGTACCACTGGCCTGTCCATTTGATGTGTGCCTTTGCTCCCTCTTCTTCCCTTGCAGCCTTGATCTCGGTCTGATTGACCCCTTCCATGACTTTGCTCCCATGACTGATTTGCATACGCTTTGCCTTCCCCATAAAGCCCTTCCAAAACCATCCCCAATGAGTTTGAGGGCCCTATCCCTACCCCTATGCCTCAGCCCAATTTGTTTTCCACTTACATGTGTGTATCCCCCATTAGACTGGGAGAAACACTCCCTAAAGTCAGGGAGCAGGTGTGACTGAGTTCTAGCCCGGTGTGGAGTAAGGAGCACGATGATGTGATGAATGGCTGGAGGAACAGCCTTGTTCTTGGGTAAGCTCCAGGTGGGATGGTTTCTAACTGGGTAACAGAGTTTCTCTGACAAGTGCTCCTGGTCCCAGCTGGAAACTATATGGGGCATCATTTCCAAGAATTGGATTTTCATTTTGTAAGGCCTGTGAGACCACAGGAGACTGAACTCAGTACCCCAAGATGAGTTCAGGACTAGGAGGTTGTTTAGACTACGCTGGGCCAGAGCTGAATCCTCCATCTGTGGAACCCGGCAACATCAAGGACTGGATCTCTACAGGGGGCAGGACAGCCTGCAACTATACCCCAGGTCAAGGCCTGCTGGGCCCCATACCTGAAGATCAAGACTGAGCCCTGGGCTGGGAAGTAGTGGGAAAGAGAGGAGAGACTCACACCTATGTAGTTTTGAGAAGTTCACAGGCCAGTGAGGGAAACCCTGTCACAGCTGTTAACACCGGTGTGGTGGTGATGCCTCCTAGGAAGATTTGAGGCAGGCACTGAGGAAGCACAATGAAAGAACAGTGGGCTCTGTTCTTAACCTGGAGAAGGTGGCAGTGGCATTGTGCAGGGGATGCCGGAGAAGTTAGGAGGGAGCATGCAGGTGCAGGGTTTGAGCTCTACAGACGTCTGCTTTGGGAAAATCCCAAGATGGGGAGTGAATGGCTGCTGCTTTTCATAAGGCCTAGCTCAGTGCTTCCTCCTCTCCCCTTCCCAGGGACTCATGAGTTCATGCTGCTTCAGTCCTCTTTCCTTCTATCCTCAGTGGCGGTGTGAGCAGAGACTGGATTGGCGTCCCCAGGAAACTGTATAAGCCAGGTGCCAAGGAGCCCCAGTGCGTGTGTGTGAGAACAACTGGCCCCCCTAGTGACCAGATGCCGCACAATCCTATGCACAGAAATCACGGGGACTTGGACCACCCCAACTTGGAGGAATACATAGGCTGCCCACCCCTAGCCACCACTTGCTCCTTCCCACTCTAAGCTGTTGCCCTATATGTTGATAATACAGGCTGCCCTAATAGGTTCTTAACCCCCAAGTGCCCTAGGATGACTCCTGACATGAGACAGGGGGCCTGGAGGACTTTGGCCCACTCTGCAACTGTGACTCATGTCCCCCTCACCTTTCTGGTGACTGAAGCCACAGCTGAGCAACTTGCCTAATCTAGTCCTCACCAGCCTGTTCTGACCACTCCCCTAGATCCATGTGCCTTCTTCCTCCAGAGCTCTCAGATATCACTGGGCATAAATACCACCAACTCAAAAATAACTGGACAATATAGTAGAGCTAACAAGGGACAAGGTTGTGGTGACTTCTTGGCCATAACCAGCTACCCTGAGGGTGCAGGTAGTTGGACCTATGGGCTGGGGACCATGGTCACAGGGGACATCACGCTCAACTGGCATAACATACTACACAAAAACTCTTCTACATCCTACTGGGGTCTTAGAAGCTTGCAAACGGCTGTCTAGATGCAATGAGGGGTCTCTCCTCATCCAGAGCAAAGAAGAATGAAGAAAACCAAAGAGGCATAGAAACCATTACTCCAAGGGACTGGATGACCATGAGATCAGAAGAACTAGATGCTGCCCGGCTACAGCTGTCAACCATGCAAAGGGGGATTGGTGCAAGAGATCCTGGATAGAGTGCGAAAACAATGTGGAACAAAACTCAAAATTATTAAAAAGAAAAAAGACCAGGTCTGCTGGTCTGATAGAGCCTGGTGAGACCCCTGAGACTATGGGCCCTAGTTACCCTTCAGGTCTGGAACTGAACTCACTCCTGTGGCTTCCAGCCAAACAGTAGGCATATGGGGTGAACATTTCCATCAGGTAGATGCGCACCTTGGAGCACTCACTCATGGGAGAACAGAAGGGCAGTGTTTGCACAGGGAGACAGCTGGGTGGGGGGCAGGAGTGCATGGGAGGGAAGGACACAGAGAAGAGGTAACTGGGGAGGAGATGGAAAGAGCACGGTTACATTATAGGGAATTGCAGTCAGTGTCATGAAACAAAATGTGTATGAACTGCTGTATAGAAAATGAATTTGCTCTTAACTTTCACCCAAATCACAGTAAGAATTTTTTTTTTTCTTTTTTCTTTTTTTAAATGGACAGACAAGCTAAAGGGCTCTGGGTTCCAATAGCTGCAGTCCATTGGCCCCAGGCTTTGGGATCAGTTGCAAGTAGCTCTAGGCCCTGCCTATAACTCAGCCTTTCCCAACCCTGTCCAGGCATCTGGAGAATTGGCAAAAAAAAAGGGACTCCATAATTCCCTGACACCCCTAAGCAGACACATCCCCAAAAGCTACACAAATTAGTGTCAATACAGCTCTGTCCTGGGCTCCCCACTGGCTAAACCTGTGCACCCTGACTTTTATGACTTTCTTAGAAGTAAGATCTCTACCCTAAGGCGAAGTTGTTGCATCAGTTGGGCCAATACAGTAAGTGGTGATAATAAATGATCGATAGGCTAATTCTGGAAATACAAAAGCTTTTGCTTATGTGAATGCAGCAAATCCAAATGCTTTTGAACGAAGCAACGATTTAAAGGATACTGTACCGATTTAAAGGATACCATACCGTCTCACTTTTAAATACTTAAAATCAGGTGTGATCTTTTCAAAGGAAGAGGTCTGCATTTTGAGCAAAAGGTGGTTTCATAGCCCTAGCAAGGTAGTGGTTTAGCCAAGGATGCAAAGCCAATCCACACGACACAGGCAAGGGAACCGGGCTTGCTAGGTCAAACAGGCCCCTGACTCAGTGCCCTTAGAATTTAAGCCTGCATGCAGACCACCACATAATTCTGGCTGCTGGCATCAGAAAACTGATTAGTGGGCAGGCCAGGGGCTTGGGTGAGATAAAGAGACCACAACTTAAAGGCCCTAAGCTTGATTAGTTATAAAATGCTGATAAACCTCCAGATTATTTTTTTCAAGTCTCTCATCAGGCACCCACCTGGTATAGAGCATGTGCAGTAAAGGTCAACGTGACAAACAGTGACCTACTAGAAGCAGATGAGAACAGTCTCCCACTGGGGCTCGAACTGGGGTCTGGAGACATCATGCATGCATAACTTGAACCTCAGAACCCCACCCTTTTCATGAATAAAGATGATGCCTCTTTCCTGCCCAAAACCCTTTACAAACCTTAGGAATGCCCCTTTCATCTCTCCCTCATGAGTCCCTCCTCTGTCCTGTCTTTAATAAACTTTGGTTTGTGTGGACATTTTGTCTCTCCTGTTCAATTCTTCGTCAGTAGAAGGCAAGGACCTCTGCTCAGGGTCTTGGATACCCCACTAACACACACAGCCCCAGCTTCATGGTGGCCTGGCTTGCCACTTGTCCAGTGGGTTACACATCATAGATGGGAATAAGGCATGTTTTTACTTTATAGATAAGGAAATGAAGACGAGTGTTACCCAAGTTCATGGTATCATCCTCTGAGGCCTCACTTCAATTCCTTTTCCCAATCTCCTCAACTATTCTAAACATTCTCCCCCCCCCCCCCCCCTAATCATTAATCTCAGTAACTAAGGGTTTCTCCCTTTCACTGGCAGACTCATGACTCACTGCCCTGATTGGCCACAGCAGGTCCTTACACCCAGGCTGGCTCTTGCCTCCTCTTGCCACTTTGGATCTTCCTCATATGCCCCTCCTTGTACCTGTAATTTCTCCCTGTGTCCTGGCTCTTTAAGTATGGAGTAAGCACGCTCACTTCCCTCACGTCATACATCAGTAGAACACTCCCTCACCACCACATTCCTCTGTAGCTATCATATCTACTTCGTCACAGCCAAGCTTCTTGGAAAAGCTGCATATACTATCTTTGCTGTCCACCCTCATACCCTACACAACATAGCCATCCCTGGCTTCTGCCCTTCTCTGCTCCTCAAGAGCAGGATAAATTCCATATTGGTCATACTCAATTCTTATCTACCTGGACCTTTGCCACATTTGACACTGTTGGGCACAAACCTGCCATTAGCTTTTTCCTAATTTCCCTTTTCTTCCTCTGGCCATTCCTTCTCAGTCTCCATGAGAGCCACCCCCCCTCTGTGAACAGCCTCTCGCTACTCTTCTCACTCTTACTCCAGCTGCCACGTACATTGCCAAACCTGTATCTCTAGCCCAGATGGCTTGCCCGAGCATTTCTGTAGGCCAGTCAACTCCACGTTTCTGACATTCGATCTTCACCTTCCCTTCCCATGATTCTTCTAGTTCCCCCACCCAGTGACTGGGACCATCATCTCCATCCAGTCACACCAAGGAAGAACCACAGCAACTCCTTCCTATCCTTTCTCCTTCCCCCCATTCCCCCCAACCAATCTCTTAAGTCCTGGCAATTCTACCTCATTTCTCTCCTTCCATTCTCTCTCAACTATTCCCAGTGCTTCTCAGGTTTAGGCCACCCTTTCTCACCTGGTTAGGGCAGGAGCTTAACTATATACCCTAACTCCAATCTCACCCCTCCAACCACCCTCCACACTGCTGTTAGTCATCATGTTAATGATCACCACATTCCCCTTAGAAAGTATCTCAGTGGCTCTCTTTATCTGTAGGGGTCAGCAGCTTGGCATACAGTGGGCTTCTACAGTCCCATTTCCCATTAGCCTCTGTCTCTCTCCCACCTCCTCCTACACATACCCTTCTCTCCAGCCACCATCTCACTGCATTGTGCCCACATTACTTCACACAAGCTGTTCCTTCTACCTAGAGTGACAGCTCTTCCTCCACTCAATTTGTCTACCTCATTTCTTCAAAACTCAGCTCAATCACCACCTCTTGAGCACCTTCTTTAACCACTGGCCCAGCAGTCAGATTTAGATGTACTTTGCCTAGGTTCCCATAGTACCCTGTGCTGACTCCTAAAATGGCATCGATCTCAGTGGACTGTAACCAGTAATATCCTCATCAGCCTCTTCCACTAGGCTGAGGGTCACTCAGCTTTGCACTCCCAGTATCCGCAGTGCCTGGCTTGTGGTCAGTGGGCAGAGTGAGCTGTTCTTTTAGAGGTGCAGCTAGAGGTTTAAAAAATGTGACTTGCTAAGGTCCTGACTGAGTGCTACTTTACTCCTCCCTATTTCTGAATGTCTCTACCTTACCTGGAGCAGGGTGGACAGAAAGGAAAGCTGAAATGAAGACCCTGTTCTGAGTTCCAGACAGTCCTTGAACTCAGTGCCTGAGGCTTCTTTTGTCAACTGGAAACAGTCCTCAACTCCAGGTGAACTGGGAACTAGTCACTGCCCTGCTCTGGTTCCTCCCTTAGTGACTCAGCAAATATTTACCAAGTACCTACTATTGGCCAGGCATCATGTTGAGGGTGGGAGGTGGGATAATAAATTGAGGTTTTAGACCTCAAGTTTACAGTAGGGTAGAGCCAGACTCCTTTTAGTAGTTACAGTGGCCACTGTAACTACTAAATGAGTGTAAAAGCAAATGTGGCAGGCTGGTGTCCTTCAGCATCTCGAAGGAAATCTTAACATCTACCTTTTAGTTCTGAGATTCCAGTTTGCTGTCCCCTTACTGGGCAAAAATGCATAAAAATCAATGCATGGTTGGCTTCTATTTATACCACACATATTACGGCCGGTGACAGAGGGTAAACACTTTGCCTCAAAGGATGGCTATGTAGAAGCAATTAACAGTGCCTATCAACTATGAGAGAAAAACACAAGAATGAGGCAGAAGAGCTGGTGTGAACCAAGAGTAAGCAAAATGGAGGACAGGTAGAGAAAAGGAATGTGCTAGTTCAAGAAAGTGTGAGGGCCAGGTGAGCTACAAGATTTGTATGATTTATACAGTGGTTTATGGATAACAGGATTTTAATTTGCAAGCCCCTAGGGTGGTATAGTGGTTAAGGCATTTGGCTGCTAACCAAAAGGTCGGTGGTTTGAACCCACCATCCACGCTACAGTAGAAACATGAGACAATCTGCTGCCATAAAGATTTACAGCCTTGGAAATCCAATGGGGGTCACTAGGAGTCAGAATCAACTCGATGGCAGTGAGTTTGATTTTGGGTTTTGGAAAGCTCCACTAGCAATCTATGAAGCCCATGTTGTTGTTGTTGTTGTTATTTGCCATCGAGTCGGCCCCGACTCGTAGCGACCCCTCCTTGGGTTTCCAAGGCAGTATCACTACGGAAGTAGGATTGCCCAACCTTCCTTCCGAGGAGTGGCTGGTGGGTTTGAACCGCCAGCCTTCTGGTTAGCAGTCAAGTGCCTTAGGCACTATGCTACCAGAGCTCCAGTGCCTTCAAACCTTGACTCTTAGAAAGCTTACCAAGGGTGGATCCTCTTGAGTTGCTCCTAAATAATGAAGACTAGAGGGAATGTCCAGGGGATTTGGAGCACATCAGTGATCACATGTGTTGCTGAGAGCTGTCTAGGCCAGGAGCACTGTAAATCCAGGCAGCTGGTCAATATGCCTAAAATGGCTACTTTTTGACTGTCAACTCTGTGCTTCTGAAAAATGTTGGAATTCAAACTTTCCTAAAGGGTAGTTTGTAAAAGAAATTTGTTCACAGGTCAGGAGGTGTTTTATCTTTTTTTTTTTAATGCTTATTGATACTTCTGCATTAGAAGTAACTACAAATATCTCATTAAAAGTTTCCACTTTAAATGCACAATTTTACCTCATTTTATTACAAGGAATTGTTACAGAAATTGTAAATATCAGTATTTGAAAAATACATTCCATTACATGGACTCCAAAGAACAATGCCGGTAAGCGCCATGGTCCTATACGATGCCACCGTCCCACACTAAGCACCAACTCAGAACGGTTTGGAAGCCAAGGTGACCAACCCGAACATGTGCCTGCACAGTTTCTGCCGACCTCCTCCCCACTGGTGTCCCAGGGCATGCCTCATCAGGTATGTCATGGTAACAGCCAGCTCCATACATCAGCCAACACGGGTCATTGAGCCGCAGCAGTCTCCCTGGCTACAGAAAACCATGTCGTCAGTTCTAACAGGTTAATATGTCATTTATGCCACACAAAAAAGGAACTGTACAGGCAGTATCTTCCAAAGAAAGTCTTTAAGGCATCTATGATAACATCTGGGAATTTAGTAAGATAAGAGTTTTTAGTTAATATCTTCTCAATCAGCTATTTACTAAATTACTTCTACAAAGTAAGAATGTGGCTTCCAGACAGATCCCCTTAGAGGTCTGCTTACCCGCTGCTTCCCGCTCCTGGGCTGGGGGCGCGGAGCTCTGGTGTTGCAGGCTCACAGGGGCTGGGCTCACCAGCTCTGTGCCCAGTTCTTCTGGGGCATGTCCGGATGGAAGCAATCCCAGACCCGGAAGAAAGCCTGGCTCAGGTGCTCCCTCGACCTGTAAGCTCCAAGTGGACCCGTCATGGAAGCCTTAGCTTTACTTGTTAACATTACTGTCAGCTTTGTAGGTAGTCTGCCTTTAAGGTCTAACATTACATAGTTCAAAAGTGGTCTTTTTCTCCAGATAAAAGAAATGTAGATGGAGATCAAAGCTCTAGCCCCTCCCAAGACTCTCCCTCCACTCCAGGCCTATAGACAAGATTAACACACTAACGTTCAATACGACAGGTATGGAACATGAGTCAGGAGAAGTGGTGAAGCCACACGCACACTGAGCTCCATGCAGGGACCCCATCCAGGGAGAAGAGTGAGGAAGCTGAACGAGGTGGTCATCAATGACTCAGGGCTCTGAGGTAGAGGACTAAAGGTCATGTGGATCCCACTCCTGGAGAGAATATGGCAAGTGAATTGAGCAATGTAACCCAGCCTCAACTAAATGGGTAACAGGCTGACAGTGCACAGGCGGGAAACTCCAAATGAAACACAGTTCTCCTATATCACTCAGTGAGACATCACAAAAAAGATATAACTGAAAAACAAGCCCTAAGTGTAGGCACTTAAGTTTGTGGGAAATTCCTGTGTTAGAGGATCATAGCCAGTTGGTTTAAGCCATTCTATTTGCATTAGCACATGGTTTGTACCCTTGTCTTTAAGAAATGCCTGTTAAGACTATGCTGTCTAATAAATCTGGTGATGAGCAAAAGGCAGTTAAAAAGCTAATGAAGCAGACAAGGTTGACTGATGCAGCAGATGTTTCAGGAAGGTTTATTCTTCCCTGCTCTACTCATTCACAGCTGGCAACTTTCTGGATGAATAAGTTTTTGCTACCAGTATTTAAGCTACTGATTAAAACTGAACAAGAACAGGTAGGCAGTTTTGTAGTCAAGAGGTAACAGCTTGGAGAGCACAGAGGGAACTCAGAGCATATCCAGCCTCAGCCAAGACAGGGGGGTGGGGGCATGGAGCTACCACTCAGGGAACCTCTTGGGTATAGCACAGAGAGCATCAGCATGGTCATGGAGATATCTGAAGAAGGGGGAAAGATGCATTGTCTTTATCTACAAAAATGCACCCTAAAGCCAATGTCGAATTCACAAAATGTTCCCCTGATACATGGCTGGTCAGTACCATAGCTGTCCCAGTACTCTGAAAAAAAGAAGCTTGACTCAAAGTATTTTAAACATGATCTTAAGATTTTTCAGTGCAATTATAGGCAAGAATGTTACTGAAATTGGTGTGGTAGGGCACGGGCAGGACAATCAGCCTCATCCCTGATTGGATCTCCAGCCTCTCATGAACTTTAACACATCAGTATAAATCTACTAATTGCCAAAATATAATTATCTTTCCAATTAAAGAATCAAGCCATTTAATTAATCTCTACTTCCTCGTGTCCCTTCTCAAGCAACAGAAAATGGAAACTGATTGCATGCCTTACACAGTCTAATGTTTGCCAATACTAGTTGTAGTTGGGTTTTTCTGTAAAAACTTATACAAAATATGTCACAGATTTTGGGGGAGAGGGAAATTCTTCTAATTAATATTTTTCTTTTGAACATTATGCACAAGCTCATATTAACATAGAAAGCACATATATCTTATAAATCACAGATTAAAAAAAGTAATACACGTGATTTACCAGCTCATTTGACACACACATTTTAGGCAATAGAATATATAAATCTACAGCAACACAGAGGCCATACCACTATCCAAGAAAGGAACAAACAAAAATAGCAGGCTGTTACAAAAAAATATTTAGTCCCTTTTACACGTACATCTATACTTCATTAATGCCAAAAAAAAAAAAAAAAACCATAAAAATGTAGTGGTTATTAAATGTCTGCAAAATATCAGTATGTATGATTGCGACTGTTAATCTGTACAGGTAATAACTGTACAGCACATGCTGTTCTGTTCATCTCAGAGTTTTTTTTTTTTAAAAAAAAGCAGTTAGAAGTTTCTCTTCAAATGTACATTTTTAAAAAATTGGCCAAACTTTCAAAAGAAAAGCCGTTTACCGCCTCAGGGTTAATAATGTACTAGCAGTGACGAAGGGCCGACAAGCTCAGGAGCCTCGGCACACAAGCCAGCACCTTCTACAACCGGGGCAGCACCCTCTGGGCCAGGGCCTTCGGCTCTTGAGGAGCAGGGTGCGCTACACGGAGCTGGGACCAAGAGCACTCACAGCACAACTAGGGAAGGCTCCAGCAAGAAGCACTGGCTGTCAAGGAGGTGGGACTTGCCAGGCCAAGGCTGGAGATACCCAGGGGCTGAAGCTCTGACAGTTCCCCATCTCACCACTTGGCCTGCATGAATCTCATGCTCCAAGTAATGTGTTGCAGGAGCATTTCCTTTAAGACTTAGAGTGAGCTGAGGTCCAGTCAAAGCTGATCATTAGAATCACTGATGCAAGGACGTGTGAGGGTGTTTCTGAGGATGGGTTTTTAAATTGGAATCACCAATAATGCAGCTATATAAAAAGTGCAGCACAGTAAAAGTGCAATTCCTCTACTACTCTAGTAGCAGAGTGGCTGAGGACTCCACAGATAGGATAAGCGAGATGAGAGAACTAGAGCCGGCTGCTAAGGAGGCATCCCGCTGCCATACTGCGCTCCTGCTACCTCGGGAGCACGAACACTGGTAAAGCTTTCAGGTGTTAAGGCCACAATTTTTTAGCTCTCATCTCTAAACCCTGTTTAGAAAGATTTCACCTTTTTTAAAGGGATAGCTCACTAAAAATAAAGCTTAGCTTAAAAAAAAAAAAAAAATCCAGGGCAAGAGGATCCTATAATCTTTACGACAAAACACTGCGCAGGAAGCCCACAGCCACTCATCCCAGAGTAAAGCCGGCACTCACTGAGCAGCCGGGCACCAGCGTCCCACTCTGGTGGGCTCTGCCAGTACCACTGCCCAAGCAGGAAGGCGAAGACCGCATGTCCTCTGAGATGGACACCACGCTACTGGCAGGGGACATGGTCTTACAAGTGTCCTTTTATGTTGCTAGCAGAATGGGGTCTACTTCCTACCACATTTACCACACAGGCTAAATGGTCCAGTCCAGTTAGTGAGATATCTAGGGACGTCGATCACAGTCTGACACACTGACAGTCATACAGAATTAGTTGAAATGGGATCCGTCACACCATAGTCCTTAATTGTTCCAGTCTACTGCCGCAGGAAGACGACCCCCAGTTCCTGCTCTGGGTGGGGACGGGCTGGTGAGCAGAGCAGCTGCTGGAGAGGCGACCGGGGACGTGGCCTGGACCCTCCTGGGGGGCTCACTAGGAGACCCCACCCAGAGTCAGTACATCAAAGCAAATGTTGCAAACTCGTACAGGCTTGTTCAGATCAAACTTTATAATAGGAATCTCCTTGGTCGAGCATTTATGACAAAGAAGACGTCCGCAGTGACGACTGTGAAGGCAAAGAAAGGAAGTATGAGAGGGGTGCTAAGGAGCAGATTGCTTCCCGACAGGGCGAGGACATCCACGACATGGAGTGTGCTCGGCAGAGGAGGCGAGCCCGTGACCGTCATCCTGGGTCAACTCTACCCGCTACCAGCCAAGTTATACCAATTCATATACAGTTTTTAGTTCATGCAAAAAAAAATTCCAGCCAACAAGTAAAGTGAAGATGGCTTTTTTTAGAGATCAAGAGAGGCTCAGCACTTGCAAAGGAGCCGTCTCATCTTAATGGGAGTAGCCCTCCAGTTCTCAGCAGAGCTGCCTATACGCAGACTGGGAAGCAGGCTGAGAAGGCAGTAACTCCTCCCAGCTCTGCTGCAGCCTCAGAAGCTGCCTGGTACCTGTGAACCCTGAGCACTCTCCCAGGCCTCACTTTCTGAATGAGCCCTAGCAAGTTCATGGCTTATCATGGGAAAGGGTGAAAGCAATGACATCACAGAAGTCCCCCTGCTCCTCTGGCAAGTGATGGTGAGGTCTTACCAGTGATGTTTGCGAGTTGTGACTCCAAACTTGGCAGTGCACTCGTAACAGTTGGAGCCGTCACACCACGGGGGTTCTTTGGACAGCATGTCTGTAACACACACAGGAGATTGGTTTAGGTCAAGTAGTGACTATGCCTGGCAAGACTCCGAGCTTAGAGGCAGCAAGAGAAGCACACTAATCAATAAAGCAGCACATCACAGAGTTACCATGAGAAATGAATATACTGGAACTAGGTGAGGGAAGGCTTCAGAGGAGAAGATAAAGAATCAGCATTTGTCAGACAGGTTGGAAGAAGGGAGGAAATGACGTTTAAGGTAGTGTCCATCAGGAAACGCACGCAGTCAGGGTGCTGGGGTGTGACGCCCGTGGGGGAAACGCACACAGTCAGGGTGCTGGGGTGTGACGCCCGTGGGGGAAACGCACGCAGTCAGGGTGCTGGGGTGTGACGCCCGTGGGGGAAACGCACGCAGTCAGGGTGCTGGGGTGTGACGCCCGTGGGGGAAACGCACGCAGTCAGGGTGCTGGGGTGTAAAGCAGGTTGGAAAAAGCAGAGAATACAAAGCTAGAAAGACTGGAGGAGACCAAATGGTCGGGGAGACAGAGCAGGGACCAGAGGCAAGAGACTGAGGAGGCAGATCTGTAAGGGGCGGGGCGTGTGAGAGTCTGGCACGGAGCAAGATGGAGATGTACGTGATTCCCAGGTTTTTGGGTGTGACTAAATCTGTGGGGGGACACCTGCCAAGCAGAGACTTGAGAGAAAGAACTAGCACATATGGGTAATTCAGGTTAGAGTTTGAGGAGCTGTGGGACAGTCAAGTTAGATATATGTGGGCTTAAATATCACAGAAGCTCAGTCTAAAGATAAGGAGCTGAGAGTTATCAATGTCGATAGTAACAACAATCACTAGGATTTACTGACTGCTAACTATATGCCAGACACTGCCCTAAGCACTCTCTACACAGAAGCAGACTGAGCTCCCCAGGAGGGAGCACCTGCTGTGTACCCCACTTTGACAGGCACTATTCTGAGCTCTTGAGAGGTGGACTAAGTGCATGGCATGGGGCAAAGAATGGTAGATTAGACAGTATAGGAACAGCAAACCTTACTGCTTTGTGACCCTGGCAAGTGACCTACACCAAAGTCACTTCTTCAGGTATTTCTTAGCTTGCTTCTTTGTCCATGGCATGGGGCTAATCATATTTTTCTACCTCCGGTGTGGGGCGGTGACAGAGCACTGTGACGTGGGAGGCACCTGAAGCATGCTGATTCTCTCTGACACCCCAGTGAAGAAGAAAAAGACTTACAAATGTGGAATCTTTAAAAGTGAAGCTCTCCTTACCACAAAATGAACACAGGGAAGGAAGAGTCAAGGGGGGCTAAGAAGGGCATTTTGAAGGAGGCAGAGAATCTGCACGAGCCAAAGGAGGAAGGGTATGCAGACAAGCAGCCAGGAGACATGGTGAAGGGCACCTGCCTAGAACTTCTGGATTTCTGGTAGGTTCAAGGGAAGTGGGAAACCCATAGGGCCCAATGTGGAACACTCTGAAAAGTGACCCATCGCTGCTCAAAGTCCCTTCATCCGTGTCCCAGAAAAAGTCCTATAAGGCTCTTGGAAAACTGCTGGTCTAGATCTTACAGGAAGGCCTTAAGAGATTTAAAAACCAATACAGCCATGCAGATAATCAACATTTAACTGTGCTTGTCAGGAAACAGCAAAAAGTCAGCCACTTACCTAACAGTCTAAACAGAAGTTGCTTGGTAGCAACCTGGTAATTGAAAATGTTGACTCCTTGGTTATTATTCACTCCAAGGCGAGCCCCAGATCGGACGATAGCACGGCACAAGTTGGCATTCCCTTTCATGTAGGCTAAGAGCAGCACTAGAAAACAAAACCACAGGCAGGGCTACTGCCCACCAGGCCTCAGCTTGGCACTACCAAAGGGTTGGCAGAGGACAGCTGAGGGCAGGACACTTGTTAGGAAATTCCTCCAGAACCACAAGGGCCCCCTGAGGCTCTGATGAGACTTCCAGAGGATGTGCAGAATCTTCCAATAAAGGATCCGGCCACAAGCCAAGCGACTGCAGCAAAGCGACAGCTCCAGAGCACCATCTCAGTCACAGCCCCAGAGACACACTCTCCCCATTCAACTCCGGCTACAGGAGAGTCGAATAGGATCAGACACTGAAGGAAAACTCTGTCATTGTCTCAGATGCCTTTGTCTGGTGTGAAACTGGTTTCACCACAAAGGGCAAAACTCTTTTCACACAAGGTAACTAAATCTAAAGAGCTGTGAGTTGTGTACACATGGGGAACACGCTCCAGAACCAGAAAGTTCTCCTGCAATAAGCCTCTCCTTTGCAGACACAGGCCTTCTCTACTAACAATCACAGCCGCCAGCAGCTCCCCTCTGCTTCCCTTTACCAGGTACTTTATTTCGGTTCTTTCATTAAATTCTCAAAACCATCCAGTCAGATGAGGGTTACTGCTCCATTATCAAGGGAGGAAATAGGCACAAAGGGGTGAGGAAGCTTACAGAGTCACCGTGCTAGAAGAGAACAGAGGTAGGACTCAAACCCAGGTCTGCATAAAGCAGGAGCCTTCACGTAAAGCCCCTCTGCCATACTGCTGTCCATTCTGCTGGCCTGCTCACCCGCCTTAAGTAATGATCTCACTGGTGTGTCTGCTCGGCCCAGCAGCTCACTCCCAGGCCCATCACTGCCAGCTTAAGAAACAAGTTCATACATCACAACTCTTCCCTGGGCCAAGAACTGATGATGGAATCTTTGGCCTCAAGCTAAAGTTCAGGATATCCCTTGATGACTACACTTCAGTACAGAAGGCCTGGAGGCTCTGCTGGCATGAGATGGAATGAGAGGGAGTATGGCACCAGCAACAGCAGCAGCAAAGGATGCTCAGAGAGCCCTGGACTGGGAAGCTTCATCTTGTTCTTTTATCTGTTATCTTCATTTCCTTACCTGAAAAACGGGGACACACTAAGTGCACTGCCTACCTTACAGAGCTGTTGTGAGGATTCAATGAGAAAATGAATGCAAACATCTTCAAAAAAAAGCTATGAAAGGTACACAACACAGTGACAAGGGACTAGAGAGGTCGATGCATCCCCCTCAATTAGAAAGTATCCCTTCTACCTGTGCATAACATGTCGTTTTCTCGAAGTATGTCAACACATACTGTTGCACATTTGCTCCTCCTGAAGTCTATGACAGGTAGTTAGATTTCATCTCTCTGCTGAATTTAGGCACTTGGGTAGGGTGCTGGTTGACTGGACAAGAGGCAGACAGGGGCAATGAAAATAAGCATGCAGACTTATTTGGACATGGGTATGGCTTTGGAGCCTGGGTGGCACAAGTCGTTTGTGACTGGCTACTAACTGCAAGGTTAGCAGTTCAAACCCGCTCAAGAGCTCTGTGGAAGAAAGGCCTGGTAATCTGTTTCCATAAAGATCACAGCCAAGAAAACCCTATGGAGCAGTCCTACTCTGTCACACATGGGGTGGCCATGAGTCGGTGGCCAACTGGACAGCTAACAATAAAATGACTTTGAAGCACTAGATACGATTGAGATATGCTTCTGCCTAAAATCAGATGCTGCCCAATTCCATGGCAGGGATCTGTGACAGATGCTTAGAGAGCCCAGCCTAAATGCACTGAGCTTAATGCCCTTAATGATACGTGTTCAGGCTCCTATGTTTTTAGGAAGCAGGAAGTACAAGTGAGACAAGATAAACAAACACTTTACTACATACCTGTGTTTCCCTCCGTGTCCGGTTTATCTAGAGGATACTCAGGCATGCACTCCAAGAAGAGATCAAAGATGGCTGCTGCATTCTCTTTGCCATATTGTCCCAAAATGTGCAGTGGTGACTGGCCTCTGATTTTAAAACGTTGGAAAAGTTAGGCATGTGTCTGCCACGACCCATCATATACAAAAGAAAAGGAACTTTCTAAACTTGAAGATGCTGGATAAATCTGAAGGATATATACCAGGTTATAAAAGTTTTTCTAAACAAAAATGCCAAGATACGAAAGGCTGATCAAGTATCCCAGTGGCCAGCTGCACAGCATGCACTGGGGCTGAAGGGAGCCACCAATGACCATCAGCTCTGAGGGCCAGCCTATGCCACATGGAGCCCCGGTCTCTGCTCTGGAGCAGGAGATGCACCCCCACAAGATATGCTAGACACACTGACCTTAGGTTAAAGGCTTCAGCATCCACCGTGCACTCTGTCAGGAGGACCCGGATGTTGTTGAGCCGGCCGTGCATGACAGCAAGATGAAGAGCTGGGGAGTAAATGCTCTTACTGGGTGAGCCCAGAAGCATACAGAGAAAATTTCAACTCCTCATCACCCTCATACAACCCCCTCTGCGTAGGACTCTTAGAGCGGCCACTGGCCACTCACAGAGCCGTCCCTTCTGTCTTCACTACAGCCCAAGCATGAGTCATAAGCACAACGTCATGAGCTTCTGCTGCTTCAACAATCATCCAAAGATGAGATTCAAGAGCTTCACAGGAAGTCATGTTAGCCTACTGGGATTACCAATCAGACTGGCAGGCTGCCCAGGGCCTGGTCAGAGGCAGGGTGGATACCCAGCTCAGAGCACGTCCTGTTACAACTCTGCTCCTGTAACAGTCAACCTCTCTAAGAGGGAGCAGACCCAGGGCATGCAGAGCACCTCCACCCCTAGGATGGAGGGGTCACTAAAGGCATTAGCCCTGGACAGAGAGGATGACGGAATTACCATTATTTCCATTCTCATCCACAGCAGCAAAGTCCACTCTATTCTCCAGAAGGACTGAGCAGATGGTGGGCAGGTTCTGCTGGGCGGCGAGATGGAGGGCAGTCTGGCGGTGCTTGGTTAATTCATTCACTTTGGCTCCTGCAAGAAGCTGTTAAAGTTATCACGTGAGCAGTCTCTACCACAACCAAGGCCCCACTTAAGGCTGCAGCAAAAGGGCCTTTCACGTACTCCTGGGGAAGTGCACACTGGCAAAACCTTTCCCAAGGGCAAACTGTCAGTTACCTAGCAAACCATATATAGCCATTCCTTTGGACACACAAATTCTACTTCTAGGCTTTAGTAGGTAAAAAAAACAAAAAAAACTGCACAGGACTACAGTGATGTCCACTGCATTATATAAAATGTCCACTGCTTATAACATAATATAAATGTGATGGTAAAAGGATTTGGTTGTAAAAATTGTAATATATCCAAAGAACAGAATGAGTAGCCATTAAGATGATAAATATTTACCTATTAAAATGGAAAGATGTCTATAAAGTAGTGAGTGTAAAAGGCAGTTAGAATATAGTGTGGTAGTGTGACGACAGATGACAGCTAGGCAGGCAGGCAGGAAGGCAGGCAGGCAGGAAGGCAGGCAGGCAAACTCTTTGAAGATGTTTTAAAGCACAAACACTGAGCTCAAAGGAGAGCCGGGGGAGAAAGGGAGAAAGTTCCTGCTTTTTGTCCTTCTGTAATTTAAATTTTTCTACAGTGAGCATGTACTATTTTCATATTCCTTTTTTTTACTTGTAAATTTTATTTATTTTGTTGTTGTTAAGAATATACCCAGCAAAAAACATACACCAATTCAACAGTTTCTACATGTACAATTCAGTGACAGTGATTGAGTTCTTCGAGTTGTGGAACCATTTTTACCCTCTTTTTCTGAGTTGTTCCTCCCCCATCAACAACTCACTGTCCCCTAAGGTTCCTATTAATCTGTCAAGTTATTGTTGTCAATTTGATCCCATGTAGATAGTTCTTAAAAGAGCATAATGCTCAAGGCAAACCTTTATCATCAGTTACGCACACACTGACGTTGAGTCAGACCCGACTCCTAGCGACCCCTCCTTGGGTTTCCAAGGCCTTATCACTCCTCGGAAGGAAGGTTGGGCAATCTACTTCCATAGTGATACCGCCTTGGAAACCAAAGGAGGGGTCGCTACGAGTTGGGTCCAACTTGACAGCACATAACAACAACAACAATCACTACAGAAGGAGATTGCCCAACCTTCCTTCTGAGGAGTGGCTGGTGGGTCTGAACCGTCAGCCTTCTGGTTAGCTAAACTATTATTTGGTTTTAAGAAGACTTCAGGCGATGTTTTTAGTTTACGGTTTAAAGATGATCTCAGGGCAATCGCTTCAGGGGTTCATCCACCCTCCATGGCTCCAGAACTTTTATTACTTTTTAAAAGAAAGAAAATTACACAAAGAACTGCAGAATCAAAGGCAGGAAGGTGCTTTAAATAATATCTTGTCTATCTATTCATTTAGTATTTAAAGTTCATTAACTGCTTTCTGACAAAATATCAAAGACACTTGCTGGCAGCAGAAAATAATCAGTGCTTGGCAGTCAGGGCCTACTCTGCCTCTCCAGAGCTCTGAGGGCTCCTCTGGGTCCCCTGTCCGTGAGTGCAGGGCCCCTGCCCGTGAGGATCTAGGCACTGGGCAGCTGGTCTGGATCTATCCCTGACTTCTGAATATCAACCTACCCAGAGCTCTGGGTACCCAGTCCAATCACTCATAGGTCCAGATAGGACATATCTCTGACAGTCATGGTCACTAGTCCTCGGCTAGGGATTAGCACCTTGGCAAAGGGATCAGGACCCTCAAACTTCCCTAGGCTCTCAGGGTGGCAGAGAGACCAATGAACATGGAGCTGATTCTCTGCTCTCTTGAGTAGGCCCAGTTCTGATAGTATATCCCCCACAGCCAGCCTGTCCTTGTTATCATCAGACCTACCACCTCACTCTCCAGTCCATTCCTCACGACCACTACCCCACCCAGGCCTCTGCGGTGGTGATCCAGCCCCCAGCCCATCCCCAAGCAGCTTCTTTAAATGCTCGCTCAGCTCAAACACACATTAAGTCATAAGAGTTTTTCTAAAAGTGTTTTTTAAAAATAAAAATGCTAAGGTATGAAATGCTGCTCAGGCTGGTTGAGCGTCCCCACAGCCAGTTCAACAGACTGCACCTGGGGCTGAAGGGAAGCTCTAAGGGCAAGCCAGGGCCATGGCGTCCGGGTCTCTGCTCTGGACCATGCTCTCTCAGCTCAAATGCCTGCAATGGTTTCTCCACTGCCTGAGGTTAAAGATGCTCACAGTTCTTGGTCTGAAATATGACCCACCCACAATCTGGTCTCAACCACATCTCCTCCTACTTGCTACTCAAATGTCAACCAAACTCTTCTACTTGCAACACACCACATGCACTTTCCAATCTCCACATCTTTGCTTAGACCTTTCCCCAGCCTGGGTGGCACTACGTGTACTGGAAAAACCAGGTGTTGGAAGCTCTGGTGGCCTAGTGCCTAAGGCATTTGACTGCTAACCAGAAGGTTGATGCTTCAAACCCACCTGCCACTCCTCAAAAGGAAGACTGGGCAATCAACCTACTTCCACAGAGATACCATCTCAGAAACCCAAGGAGGGGTCGCTATGAGTCGGGATCGACTAGATGACAGTGAGTTTGGTGATTTTTTGTTTTGTTTTTAGAAATGGCTAAAATTCCAGCTACACTACTGACTAGCTGGTAACCTGGGGAAAAACAATCTCTCTGAGCCTCAACTTACTCCTTTGTAAAATGTAAAAAAAAATGCTCTACCTCCCTTAGGGTTGGGGTTGTTCTGACAATTAAGAGATAGCCCACTTGCAAGCCCCAGCTGGGTGCCTGACCCACAGGAGGCAGACAAGGAAGCCAGTCTCCCTGCCCAGGAGACCCTCTACTCTGGCTCTGCCATCAAGTCCTGCTGGCCCTCACGGCCAAACAACTTACGGGGCACTCAGGACACACTGTGCACTGACACACCTGTTTTCCTGATGGTACTGGCCTAGTCCCCAAATTCACCCTGGCCTTTCACAATACCTGGGAAAACCCCTGTGAAGACATGCTGAACACAAGCCACAACATGCTTTGTACAAAAGTTAGATGCAATACTGTTCCTGTTTCACTTACCAAATTGCGGACAATAATCTCTGAGCCTGCTTGGACAGCTAGGTGCAAAGGTGTCAACTTGGAAGCATCCTGGACTCTTGAATTCACATTAGCCTGGACACTGATCAGGAATAGGACACTTTCAATATCAGAGTTCTGAACTGCCACGTGGAGAAAATTCCGGCCCTTGTTATCCACCTAAGGCAGTAAGCAGGAACCAAAATATTAGTATGCTCCCTTGTAAGAGTGCCTACTATCTGTGGCCGTGGAGAGGTCATGATGTCATCCTTACCTCATGGCCAGGAAGCTCCCCTCCAGGAAACGACCCTAAATGCTCCCCTCCCCCACACACAACAGACCCACTCTATATATTTGTGCACATAACCCTGTATACATGGAAACATCCAAGCAGTCAGAGAAAGGGGGCAACTGCACAGACCTAAGCTGGCCTGGCATCCTCCCACAGCAGAAACTGGACTTTTGAAAGCCACGAAAGGGAACCTGCAGGACAGGAACAGGAAGGCGCTAAAACACTGGGGTGCTTGGGGAGAAGCAAATGTGGAGACTAGCTTTGGGTGTCTCTGCTTTGGCTGAAACAAGCAGACAGCATCCTAACCCTGTAGCTATGGTGACAGCCTGACCCCTGAGCAGTGCAGCAAAGCTGGTTTCTGCTTTCAGAAAGTTGCCTCTGTTACTGAGGCAACAATGAGGAAAGCACCCTACAGCATGCTGCGGACTTTGCTTCATTGATGTAAAGCAGGAAAAGGTTGCTCCGATCAACCACACAGCATACTGCAGTTACAATAGTTGTCATGAGCATGAGTGTGACAAGTGAGGGAGACACCAACATGCTACACACACACCACACTCTCACACATCCACAACAAGCGATTTATCTTCAAAGGCCTCTGATTAACAGTATCAGTTTCATACTAGATGGAGAGGAATTGTGAGATAATTCTTCTCACTCTTCACGAGCTTTTTATGCTATCTGTGAACATGAAGTTCACACCTACACAATTCAGTCACATTTACATAAATGCTGAAGAAAGGTGATGGACAGAAGCCTGAAATACCAAGTAACAATCTTGCACCATGCTAGGATTTCATTTCATTTAGGTCTCAAGCTCCCATCTTGCCATCGTAAGTGGCTATTCATAAATTTTGGTAGCATTCAAAGTGCTAGTTGGAGATTCAAGGATCCACAGCAAGTTTCTATAGGACTGATTTAGCAAACAGTCCCAGAAACAAAGTAATCCCAGCTCCCAACTCATCTCTCTCTTTTTTTTTTTTTTTAACTTTTATAGTGGTGAAAAAGAAGCTCTGGTGGTATGGCACCTAAGGCATTTGACTGCTAACCAGAGGGCTCCATGGAACGAAGATGAGGCAATCTACTTCCATAAAGATTTACTCTCTTGGAAACCCAATGGGGTCCCTGTGAGTTGGAACAGACTCGATAGCACTGAGTTTATCTGGTTCGGTTGTGGTAAAACATACACAACAAGAAAGTCACCGACATAACAACTTCCCCATTTACAGCTCAGAGACACTGATGCCATTCCCCACGTTGTGCCACCTCAGGTCAGTTCTCACTGTCATTTCCCACCCAATCTGTTGCTGCAGATGGACAATTCACCTCATGGATTTAGCAATTGGTAAAGAACCTCAACAAGGACAACCAAGCCCACTAAGTGGAATGGTAACAGTTTAACTCCTCTAAAACACCCAGAAAGTTGCCACAACATCACAACACAAGCGCCTCAAGTTTAAGTGAATGCTTTTTAATACACTCATTATTAGGACAATTAAGCAACCAAGCAAAAGCAAAGAACAAACCTAGTTGTACACAGCACAGAATTCCCATTATTGGACCTACCTCCCTTCCTCTTTAATCTAGCATTTAATCTAATGACATTTTCAGGTGGCTGACACACAGGGCAGAGGAGCTGAATTTCATCCAACATCAACAGGACATCTCAAAGGCCAAATTTTAAGAAAGGAAGTATAAATTCAAAACAAATGTCTTATACAGAAGAGGCCTGGTTTAGCAGGTTTGTTTAGACTCCACGGAACGGGCTCTGCTGTGCTCAAGGCAACATGGAGAACACAGGGTGCTGGTCACTCACCTGCTCAGCAGCCCCAGACTCTCGTTTTAGAATGGCCTCGGCTGCCTTGTTGTTCTTATAAGTCATGGCACAGGCAAAAGGTGTCAGCCCTTGTCTGTCTCGAACATTTAAGTGGATGTCAGGATGCGAAATCAACAACTGAATGATGACACTGTGCTGGCTGCTGACGGCCACATGGACAGGCGTTCTTCCTTCTGCATCCTATAGGGACGGGGCACAGATATTAATGTCCAACTGAAAGGTAACACTCAGGGAAAATATGAAGGGGGTAGCTTTTAAAACAAGTTCACTTATGGGAATCAATGCTACCACCCCGTTTGACAACACCTTTTTTTTTTTTAAATTATGATTTGAGTGAAAAGTCTACAGAGCAATTTCACTTACTATACAACAGTTCATGCACATTTTGTTTCATGACTTTGAGTACAATCCCTATAATGTAACAGCTCTTTTCCCACTTCCTCCCTTGGTTACCTCTTCCCTGTTCCTTTCTTTCCTATGCATTCCTGCCCCCTGAGCTATCTCCGTGGGCAAATACTGCCCTTCTATACAGCAGCTTTTAAGGAGGCCAAACCACAGAGCTGACTGAAAGCCACTCCCCACCACACCTGCTCCAGTAACCCAGTACAAATACATTTGTTACAGAAGACCTGCAGTCAGCCTCAGCTCTGTATCCTGCCACTCCATGTCTTGCTACAGGGCATTACATTAAAATCTTCTTCAGTGTTGAAAAGCATCAAGGAATATAACTCGGGGTGCTCAAGTGAACTACTGAAACATCTTTCTGAACACAATATTTAGCTTAGAACTAAAACAAACTCTCAGTGGGAATCTATAACTAAGGGGGAACAGGAAGAAAAAAAAAAAAAAAGAACAAATCTTCCTCATGATGTAGTAAGGACAAAGGCACAAAGAAGGAAATCTTAATATGAAATCATTAAAATGACTTAGCTGCTATCTAACTTAAAAAGCCACTTCACCTGTTTCATCTGTCTATACCTCAGGCCAGATCACGGTAAAGCAAAGGCCCAGGACCAGAGACTCTGCAAGGTTCCTTGCCATAAGAAGAGATTCTTTGTCTTTCTGAGGTTTCCTTCTCCCTGGAAAAGAGAAATCCTACATACCTGCGCATTTACATTGGCACCAAACTCCAGAAGACACTGCACTGTCTCTTCAAGTCCCCAAGAGGCTGCCAAATGCAAGGGAGTCTGCCCAGCTCTTGCTTCTTCTTCTCCTTCTCCATTTGCACCTGGTTGTCTTGGACTATTTACATCACAGCCACTGAAAGAAAGAGGGGAAAAGGCTTCAGGAGCCACACTTCCTCCTAGCTTAAGCCTGCTGGTAAATGAACAGCACAGCCTCATCCAACCCTACAAAAAACCTGCTGCCAGATAGGTTTACTGCTCTGACAGAGCCTGGTGAGACCCCTGAGACTATGGTCCCTAGTTACCCTTCAGGTCTAGAACTGAACTCACTCCCATGGCTTCCAGCCAAACAACAGCGAGGCATATGGGGTAAACATTTACATCAGGTAGATACACTCCTTAGAATGATTATTCATGGGAGAGAAAAAGGGCAGTGTTTGCACAGGGAGATAGCTCAGGGGGCAGGAATGCATAGGAAAGGACACAGAGAAGAGGTAACTGCAGGGAGGAAGTGGGAAGAGAGCTATTACACTGTGGGGAACTGTAGTCAATGTCATGAGACAAGACGTGTGTGAATTGCTGTATGGAAAATTAATTTGCTCTGTAAACTTTCACCCAAATCACAATAAAAAATTAAAAAAAAAAAAAAAGCCCACTGTCACAGAGTGTTATTCTTGGTCCTTGGCCTCAAACATGGTGTCTGGGTCCACTTCCATAGATTCTTTAGCAATTGGTCTCTGAGACAACCTGGGCATTAGAATTGTCAAAAGCTTCCCAGGGCTTCTACATGCATTTAAAGTTTGAGAACCACCATTCTAGAGGTTTCCTGAACAATCTCACCTCACCACATGTGGTGTACTCTGAGGGGTCATGGAGCTGCTAGAAGCAAAGCGTCTTGGCTGGGGAGCAGAGGGCTGTCCTGCAGAGACCATCTGGTCTCCTCTGCCCCACTTCTCTGGCTTCATGGTATGAAGTCTGATATGACTAAGGGAGTACATGCAGCTCCCAAAGAAGGAAGCTGACTTGGATTTTAGAGTCTCTGGTCCAGGCACATGAAACCCTCCCTCACAAGTGAGCCTGGCCCTTTGCTGACTTGACAGAACAGTGACCTCCAATAGTCTTAATAATGAAAGTCAAGGCAGCTACAGGCATGTCAAGACTGTAGGGTGGACTGAAATGAGAAAAGAGCCAGTTTGCAATAATCTGAATAAGAAATTCAAAAAGATACTTGGACTTCTCAGACCTGCGAATGAGAAAGCAGGCAGTGGACTCGCTGTTTTCATCAATGGCCCTGTGCAGGAGTGTCTGCAGGCACCCACTAGGACCTGGACCCCAGCATGTGGCATCACAACCATGTCTGACCTGCACAAAAATACAAGTTATTCACAAATACTACTTGGCAAAGACAAAATTCTTATTACCATCTGTGAGCTCTATGCACATCATTTTCAGGCAAGAAACAGTTGATAATTAGGTAATAATGACTTTACTATGTCATTCATTAGTCTCACAAACACTGATTAAATCTGCTCTATGCAAGTTCTTGTACTAAATCCTATGGGAGGGATTGGGAGATCTAAATAAGATGTATTTAATTAGTGCCCTCCAGAACTGTGTTCTAGAAGGGATAGAAAATACCCAAGTGCATGTTTACACATGCACTCACAAACCCCTAGTAACACACACTATAATTAACAGGCAATCTCATTAACAACTGGGTAAAATTCTCAGGAGCAAAATGGTTTAATGTCATATTGCAGGACCTTTAGAAAGCTAAATGAGAATTTCCACGTTGACCTCCGTTTTTGGGACTGGTCTCCTAACAACCTGAGATTTGAGAATTTATTACTATGGTAATAGTTAGGGCAGCCCCTATCAAATTAACCCACCCAGGAGAAGACTCGTGAAGAAATGTCTCAGGTTCCTTCCTTCTTGGTACTTTTCTAGATAAATGCAGCCAAAAACAAAAGAGTTGGCCAACACCACATTTGAACTGTATGTTCCTTAAACTTGACTTTCAACTGCTCATCCTTGACCCAATTTGTTACTTGGCAGATCTCTTGCCCCTCGTGATTGCTACACAGTCACCAAATCCATCTCTGCAACAAAATATTCCCTTGTGTAAAGGGAAGCTAGAGCCCAGCTGGCCTCACCAGAGTAGATGCGATGTCCTCCAGATTATTTGCCAATGCAAGCCACAGGGGAGGATTCCCCTTCTCATCTGGCACAGACATGTCAGCTCCCCGGGTGCATATGGCATCCACCACAAGCGGAAGCTGGTTTTTGATGGCCAGCTGAAGAGCTGTCTCCCCATCCTGAGTCCTGCTGGGACAAGCATACGAAAACCAAAGCCATCATTTGTGGCTGGAGCCAAAAAAACAGAGTGCCCTCTTGCACACTCCACTGTCTCTCTTAAACACACTTCACTCACATTCATTCGTATTTTCTCAGAGAAATCAGTCAATAGTGTCTGTCCCTTCTTGCTTTTTAAAAAATATAGCCATGCCGCCTTTTTGCACTCAGAAGAGAAATGACCAACTGTTGAAATTGGATAGGCATTCAGCTGCTTTTCAGAGCATATTTGTAAGGTGCCACCCCAACTGCCCACTTCACAAAGCACTTCTTTCAACCACTCAGTCATTCAGGATCACTTAACATGGGAGATAATGACAAGTTCCTTTGAAAATGCAATCACAGTAAAAATTTAACTCTTTGTATCCCACCCCCACTCACCCCCGCCTCCAGCCTTCTTGTTAGCTCATTTGTTGAATGTTCTTCATTACAAATGAAATTCCTACTTAACTGATTCTGGATTGTCCTCTGTCATGAGGTTTGTGCAATACTGTGGACTGCTCTCGAAAGGTTCAAACAAGAGCAAAGTGCAATTTTCCTTCTCTACCATACAAGTCAACTGATTATATTCAGTTACAACATCGCATTGTGTATTTTTTCTGTCATTGTTTTCCTTCTTTTATTTAATAAAGAACAAAAATACTATCTACAAGCAAGCCTATGTTCTTGAACCATTTCAATTAAGCGGGACCTGGTATGACAGCGGGGAGCGCCGTGTCATCTTACCTGACATTTATATCCGCCTGATGCTCCAGAAGGAAGAGTGCACTCTTGCTGTCCTGTCGCTGTATGGCCATGTGCAGCAAGGTCTGCCCGTCCGACATGGTGTCATTAATGGAAGCCCCAGAACCCAGAAGCTGGGCTGCAATCGTGTGCATGCCTGGGAAATAAACAAGCCCTAAGCAACGCATGCTCAGCTTTTCCTCAGCATCTCACTATAGCACACGCATCTTCTCAACTTCTCAGAGCCAGCAGTTTTCCACTGGATATACAGGTTTAACCCAAAGCGAAAAGGTTCTTTTACAACTAACTGCTTAGCCCTACTGGCTCCACCACCCACATACTCCCCTCTCCCCCACCCACATTTCTAACAACTGGGTATCAACAGCCTCCCTCTGGTACAGCCTTACCAGTCCATAACGCCAGGCCCAGGACAGTCTGGTCCCGCGAATCCTTGAGGCTGAAGTCCGGAATAATCTGTAAGTTGTTCGTGGCATGAAGAGCATTGGCTAAATTTTAAGAAGGAAAAGAACACTGGATATCACTAGCCCATAGATTGCACTTAAAGGTCAAGAGAACAAGAACTCAGTTTCATACTCACTAGCTATAATAGGATCATTTATATACAAAGAGAACTGATAAATCTTGTGGGACTGGAAGCACAGAAGCCTAATATTTTGAAGCAAAGTTTATGGGAAAAATGAATTTTTCAAAAGCTTAAAATATAATCTTCACATAAGAAAAACAGACCTCACTATAGAAATACACACTATTTGCCTGATTACTTAAAAAAGGATTAAATCAATGTGTTGAAGAGGTTTTCCTAATCTATAATCCCTAAAATTGTAAAACTCCTGTGAAGATCAAGAAATAGACACAATTTGCCTAAAACCCCCACTTCTTTCCATAGACACAATGCTAACAGTGCCGGCCTTAACAAAGATTCTCTCGCTGCTGCCAAGCTGACTGCAACAACCAGCAATCCAACAGCACAGGGTGGAACTGCCCGGAGGGTTTCCTAATCTTTACAGAAGTAGACTGCCTCATCTTTCTCCCACAGAGTTGCTGGTGGGTTTGAACTGCCAACGCTGTGGTTAGCAGCCTAATGCTCCGCCACTGTGCCACCAGGGCTCCTTTTAACAAAGATTTAGGCAAGAAAAAAACAAATTTCAGGGCAGGCAAGGGAAAAAGCTAAGTGTGATTTTTCTAAGGGACATGAGCTGCCTGTGGCAGAGGAGCTTCCTCGGCCCCTCCTTGTGTCTCCTCAGGTGGGTTCACAGGCAGATGAGAGGACTGACTGACTCACAGAGGACTGACCTGCCTCAGCAGAGTTCTCAAAGGCAGTGCTCACACCAAGGCAAAGGCTTGGCTTGATCTACATTAAAATGCCCCTCAACCCAAATTGAAAGAGACAGTGGAGTCAAAAAGTCTTAATACCTTAACCCAACAAGTGAAATGGCCAGGCTCATCCTGAAAATACATGCAAGAAAGCACAGGAGTCAACATTCAGACTGTATTACATGCTCATCTAGTGTGACCCAAAAAGACTTTTTGGGTAAGAAACTGGTTATGTAAAATTAACCATCAGAAGAAACATCAACTCTGTACTTGACTCTCAAAACCACGGTCCAGAAGTCAAGATGCCTGGCAGTAATTCTCAATTACCTACCTTTTTGTTCCAGGATGACAGACACCACATCTGGATGATTGTAAGCAATTGCCATGTGAAGTGGCGTCTGCAGATAGACACTGTCCACTGAGCTGCTCAGGGATGCAGCCTCTTTTGGCAAAGGCAGCACCTCCTCCGTCTGCAGGTTTGGATTGGCACCTTGCTGCAGAAGCTCTGCGGTGAGGTTGGCCAGGCCATGCCGACAGGCTGTGTGCAATGGGGTTTCTCCCTGAACAAAAATAGACCACATCTGAGCATTTCCAGGCTGAGAGTCTCCTTCCCAAAGGGGTAATGACAGCAGACGTGCTGAAACTCAGGGCCACCACAGCCCATTGTTCATCCTGTCACCAAGTGAGCTCCATGACTTTCATCCCACTCCTCTAATCACCTCTCTTCCCTTTCCCCCTGTGCAATCATGTTCCAGACATTTCTTCAATGTCTTCCAAGAACCTGCCAAATGCCCTGGCTTCCCATCTTCTTCATCTCCACGAACTTCTTTAGCTTCCCTTCACTTTGTAAAACTACATGTTCTAAATATTAAAGTTTTATATGTGTGTATGTGTGTATATATACACACATACACACATATACATACATATATAAAATTAAAAAAAAAAAAAAAAAAAACCCAGTGTCACAAAAATAAACATTGTAGGCAATGTAAGGACCTAACAATCAGCCCCAGGGATAAGCAATGTTAACTGTGTGACTATCTCCTCTCTGTAACTCCACACCAGCACACCTAGGGCCTGTTCCCTTGGCCGGCTTCATTTCAACCTCATAATTAGTATTAAGGGTACGTGATTCAATATTCAAAAAGTACAATACGACATGGTGGGAAAAAAAGTCTGCTCTCACACCTGGGCCCCCACCTAACTACCCCTCCAAAGGAGCCATCACCACTATTTTCATGTTTCTCTCCGCTGACAGAACCACCACAGAAAAACATACACTGACATATATGCACAGGTTTCTTTTTTTCCCACCCAAACAAATGGGAACAGACTGAATACACTGCTCTACACCTTGCTCTTATCAGTGTCATGTTCCCAACATACACTGACATATATGCACAGGTTTCTTTTTTCCCACCCAAACAAATGGGAACAGACTGAATACACTGCTCTACACCTTGCTCTTATCAGTGTCATGTTCCTTCGAAGAGTCAAAGTTCCACAAGGCTTATCGTAAAACAGCAATGTTCCACCTCCCCTCCCCTCTAAATTTTTTTTCCTTTCACAGAGAGAACCACTTTGAACTCTTTCAGCAGGGTTTTATGATCTCTGTATTTCTAATAACATGTTTTCATTGCTTCCTCTTAATTTTCCAGCCTCAGGCATTACCTGTGGAAGATAATTGCTCTTTTGCGCCTTTACCCACCTCCCCCACACCCTTCCCACCCCACCCTCCCACACAGCAGCATCAGAGTTGCGGTGAGAGCCTCCAGAACACATCTTCCTCTTCAAGGCTCTCTCCTGCTCCAGACCTCTTCCCTACACATCCTCCCTGACGGTGCTTCTACCAGCCTCTACAAGCAGAAGATTCTCAAACCCAGGTCTCCAAGTGCTTCTATCCGCTTTTCCCATGTCTGCTAGACAACCCTGAGTATTTAGAAACAAGCTGCATAACTACTCCCTCGATAGAAGTTCTTCCTCCTTCACTTAAAGGATACACATCATAACGGTTTTAACTTCTCTTGCACTCACTTCTGACAGGTAGAAGCAGGCACATCCTATAGCCCCTAGTTGTACAATTACTCTAAATTATTCTGAAATCTGTCCCATTGGATCCAAATTCGGTGTTAGAGGTCAGGACACCTTATTGCCTGTCTAGGTGATTTCTACCAGGCTCCACCATGCCAGTCCGCTGGCCCAGGCAGGTTTCTCAAGTCTAAAATGATCATACTGCTCTTCTGCCCAAACCCTTCCACGGCTCTACTCTGCCCAGAGGATAAAGTCCAAACTCTTAAACCCGCACTCTAGGCCCTACTCCGGTGTGGCTCTCACTTGCTTTCAAGTCAGGTCTCTTTGCTTCTTATGAGTTCAAGGCAGGATTTTTAAAAACTGGGAGACAACAGGGCATGTCTGTATGGTAACAGAATGAATAGCAGACAAAATTGATGAGGCAGGAGAGAGAGGAAAAACAGATGAACAGACACAGAGACATAGAACAGCAGGTGCAGAGTCACTGAGGAGGTGCGAGGGGATGAGGTACAGAGTTCAAATAAAGAAGCCGGTCTCCAATGAGTACAGGGGCATCCCATTCATATTAGCCAGAGAATGGGCCATGTGCAGGTTTAGGCACAAAGACACTGGTAAATAAACAGTGGAAAAAGGATGGTGCTGCCCTCTCCCGTTTCCGAGGAACTTTGATATGTCTCATATATCACTTACTGTTTACCTACTTGCTCAGCACTGTGGAGAGAGTATAAAACTGTAAATCCTAGTACCAGGGTCTTAATACTTGCTCTACTATTTATGAGCCACTTAATCTCTCAGAACCTCCAGGTCCTTCAGCCTGAATGAGAGATTTATGGATGTGGAACTTATCTCTTCAACCCTAACAATACAAGCTGCTTTTGGGTCCATTGTGAGAGTTAAAAGGGATAGTTATCCTAAAAGCTTGTGGCACAAAACCAAAAGCAAATCCACTGCCATTGAGTACATTCTGACGCATAGCACCCTACAGGACAAAGTAGAACTGCCCCGGAGGACTTCCAAGGTTGTAATCTTCACAGAAGCAGACTGCCTCATCTTCATCCTGCGGACTGGCTGTTGGGTTCAAACCACCACCTTCTGGTTAGCAGACAAATGCCTTAACCACTACATCACCAGAGCTCCCCCTGGGACAAACCAGTTGTAAATCAAATGTGATCTTAAAGATAAGCTCATCCTCCCTATCTGAAAATAATAAAGTGAAAGACAACTATTATTTAGTATTTCCAGTGTCCCACATGTCATGCTCATAAGCACTTACATATTTCATTTCTTTTCATCTTAACCACAATCCCATGAAGTCAGGATTAACCCCATTTTACAGATGAGGAAATTGAGGATCAGAAAGTTTAAGTAACTTGTCTAAGCCCACCTAAGGAGTAAGTGGAAAAGCTGATAAACCCAGGTATGCCCAACCCCAAAGGCCATGCTTTTAACCATAATATTACACAAAATATACTCTGTCAGCTTACGGTACACACTCAGTGAGCATCCACGTAGAAAAAACTCAGTAAATGTGAAGTGCTATAAAAGAATTAAGATGTTATTACAGTAGCTTCTTAATATACATGTTTGATGACCTTTATTAGAGTAGAAAGTCCACAGTATTTAATCTAGGACCTGATGTACAACTGCAGCTAGGAAATGCTGAACAAATCAACCAACTAATATTTGAGAAAACATGAAAGAATCTCTTTCACTATGGTTTTTAAACGATGTGTATGTATTACTTTGACAAAAATTGAAAAATAATCTATTGTATTTTTTCCAACATATCCACCCACCACTGCCATTTCTTCCACAGACCGAAACTGTTTTCCCCTGGCTGCCCTGTCACACTTACCCACTTGTTTCTGTGGTTCACATGGGCACCATTGGTTGCTAGGAAAAGAGCTGCTGCCTCATTTCCTGCTCCAGCTGCCCGCTGTAGCAAGCAATTTCCTAGAAGAAAATGGGCATGTTCGTTGTGCCATCTGCATAAAAACCAAGTCATCTTCCACACTGTATCACACCCTGCCATTCCCATCATCTTTCACAACCTGCAAGCCCACACCCAAAGGAGGTATCACTGAAGTCCACGCAGACACTCTCTGTATGTGGACACAGAGACAGGGGAAGAGCCTGGGATGGAGCAAAGATGTGGTCTGAAAGTCAGGAGACATTCATTCCTCCCTGGGTTTGCCACCATCTACCATCAGAGGTTAAGTTATGTCTCCTTGCCCAGCTGGGTTAAAACAAGGTTTCTCAACAATGGTGCTACTGACATTTGGATAGGACAATTTTTGCTGTGGGGGGCTGTCCTGTGCATGGTATGATGTTTACCATTACCCCTGGCTCCTACTCCCAATAATAAAAAATGCCTATAGTTGTTGCCCAATAATCCCTGGGGGGCAAAATCGTGCCCAGCAGAGAACCACTGAGCTAGAGGACCATGTGGAAGACACTGTGACCTGAAATTTTACCAGGTAATGCCCCTGAAATACTTCAGTTTTATTCCTAAGGTCTTAAATATGTTTGTTCTTGGCTTAGAAATGTTTTGCTGAGCACTAGCATCCTTTTTCTGAATAAAAGTTTTGGAAAGGAAAAAGAAACTTTTCTTCTTTTTCTTTCAAAATGGTTTTAGTCCTAGAGCAGTGTTTCTCAGCCTTTTAAAGCCCATTTCTCTTTTGGATACAACATAAAATCTCACATTCTACAGCTATGCTACTTGAAAATGCAAATGAAATAAAATACCAGAACTAAAAACAAGGTAAAGAAATGGAGCACAGCGCGGCTTTGTTTTCATACCACTTTCTCCTTTTGCCTCAAAGAAAGTGATACCTATGGCTAAGAATCATTCTGACCTACAGCCTCCTGATTCGAATTCCATTCTCAGGCCTGTAGTCATTCCAATGTACCAAACCCCTGTTGCATCGAGTCAATTCTGACTCATAGCAACCCCACTGGACAGAGTAGAACTGCCCAATAGGGTTTCCAAGGCTATACATTTATGAAAACATACTGCCACATCTTTCTCCCATAGAGCAGCTGGTGGGTTTGAACCACCAACCTTTCAGTTAGCAGCTGAGTGCTTAACCACTGTGCCACCAGGGCACCTTATACTAGTGTACATAAAGCTTAAATTATAAACCTCCCAGTAAGGGATTAAACCACCTGTGACTGCCAAAATTACTGAGATGTAGGAAACTAGTAAATTTAGGATACTATATTATGAAAAATGGAACAAATCAATAGGAAAAAAAAGCACTACTGAACCTCTGTATACAATTAAAACACAAATAAACTGACAGAACTATCAAGAAGAATGAACAAATCCAAAATCACAGTGAAAAAGTTTAATATACCTCTCAAATATACAGATCAAGCAACCCCCAAATTAATAAAAAATAAATAAGATTTGAATAGCATGATTAACAACCTTGACTTAATGGACATTCATAGAGACTCTGCAGCCTACAATTAAAGAATCCATATTCAAGCACATGTGAAGCTTTTGTAAAAACTGGTTCTTAAGCATCTAAAATTCAAGTCTTAAATATCAAAGAACCTCTCTTACACACTGCATTCTGACGTAAACACAAATTAGCAATCAGTAACATTACCACCAATAACCAACATACATTTATAAATTAAAAGCAATTTAGTGATAATCTCGTTTGCAGAGGGCCCTCAGCCTAAAACACTTGCAGTGCCTCCTGCATCCCCTGCCCTGTAGTACCAGTGCCTTCAGCTTTTACTTACTTAGGGTGGTGATTTCATTTCCTCTTGATTTAAAGCTAATTGACTTCTTTTAGGGAAGAGACTGTTTACTATGCATCCCTTCTTTATCACTTACTCTTCTCAGTACCATCTACCAGTGTCTCATGTACTTCTACATTCATGGATACAACTCAATGCTGAATTATATGGAATCCCTCTCCTTAAAATGAGGGTTCCTAAGAGTCTATGAGGTCAAAACTATTTTCATTATAATAATACATGGATGTTATTTGCTTCTTTTCCACTGTGTTGATATTTGCACTGATGGTACAAAAGCAACGGTGGGTCAAACTGGCTACTAGCATTAACACAAATCAAGACAGTGGCATCAAAAGTACTAGTAGTCGTTGTATTTTTCAATGCTATATACTCACAGTAAAATAAATAAATAAATAAAGCCGATTTCACGTAAGATGATCCTTTATAAAGCAGTAAAAATTACTAGTATTATTAAACCTTGACCAGTGAACACAGGTTGTTTTAAAAATTCTGTGTGAAAAATAATACACATAAAGCCATTCCTGGTATATACCAAAGTACAACAATTGTCTCGGAGAAGAGCACTTGTGCCTGTTTGTGTTGCTTTTTTCATGGAACACTATTTCTACTTGTAAGAATGATTGACTGACAAACTATGATTATTCAAGCATGGGCATCTGGCACATATTTTCTTGGAAATGAGCAAAGTCAGCCTGTCTCATTAAAGAAAACATTTGATAAAGTTTGTACCCAATGGAAAATATGCACCTTCAAATAAAAATTAGGATTTGTATTTTTGAATAAACACTCGAATTTTGGAAAACTTTTACCTGCAAACCTAAGTGTGATAGCTTCTTAAGTCTTACAACACCTTTCTGATGAGATCAGTGCAATATGAGTAACTGTGATTCAAAAACATATATGCATATGAAACATCTGCATAAGTCAGTAAACCAGTATTTTCCAAATGATTAAGGCATGATGTTACAAAATGATGCATGAAGGAAAGTTCCATTCAAAGTACAAAACAGACCACAGATTATAATGTAATAGAGTATAAAAAGCTTATCGATGTGGTTTCAGAGTCTACACTGCAACTAACCTTAAGCAAATGATCACTTAAAGAATTTTAGTATCCACAAAATATATCCGCAATTATCTTTTAAAAGGCTATTAAATGCTCCTCCCAACGATTCAGAAAAGGAGGGTGGGAATAGTGACACAACTAAAGAATGTAATCAACGTCAGTGAATTGTACATGTAGAAATTGTTGAACTGGTGTACGTTCTTCTGTGTACATTCCTGACAACAATCAAAATAAAATGAATTATATATTTTTTAAAAAAGTAACAAATTTCAAAAAACTGACTATAGATACAGATTTAAGCATCTAGATATTAAAGAGAACTGTAAAAATATAAAACAATGCCACTCTTCTCATGAAATCTTTTTGTTTTGAAAGTTACTTTTCATAAAAAAATGTTATATACTAAACATATGCTGGTCTGCAATTATGATTATTAAACTAACTATTCCGCATTTTAAAAATTTCTGTTTTCGTTTGTAATATGTTAAACATCCACAGAAATAACCCACATAAGCAAAAGCTCTTTGGTATATAATTTTAACAAAGTAAAAGAAGTGCTGAGTCCAAAACATCTGAGAACCATAGTATGAAATAAATGGAAATGTTTCAGCTTAAAGGATGTAATGTGGAGTCCAGCTAAAATTTTGGAACACGAAAATGAAAAGAACAACAAACTCACTGCTGTGGAGTCAGATCCAACTCATTGCTACCCCTCATGGGGTTTCCAAAGCAGTGTCTCTAAGGAAATAGATAGCCCCATCTTCCTTCCAAGGAGCAGCTGGTGGGTCTGAACCACCAGCCTTGTGGTTAGCAGTCAGATGCATTAGGCACTAAGCCACCAGAGGAACATGGTATTAAAAAAAAAAAAATTACAACGTGAGCTTTTACTGTATTTAAAATCAAGCATAATTTTGATCAAAGATTCTGTAGAAGAATCCTGATCAAAAGAAGGAAAAGACATAACAGAACTTTAAATTCTCATGGACTCCAGACTTTCAGGAGCCATGGTGGTTAGATGAACTTCTGAAACTATTGCCCTGAGATACTCCATAAATCTAAACCAAAAACATCCTCTGAAGTCTTATTACAATCAAATAATAATTTACCTTCACTAGTAAAAACCAGGGAGCTCTGGTAGCATAGTGCCTAAGGCACTTGACTGCTAACCAGAAGACTGGCAGTTCAAACCCAACAGCCACTCCTCAGAAGGAAGGTTGAGCAATCTACTTCCCTAGTGATACTGCCTCGGAAACCCAAGGAGGGGTTAAGAGTCAGGTCAGACTCAACGGCACATAACAACAACAACAATAAAAAATGTCTGCGATAAGCCTTGTGCTCTTTTAAGAGCTATATAAAAACCAAAAAAAACCCAAACTCACTGCCATCGTGTCAATCCCAACTCACAGAGACCCCTCCTTGGGTTTCTGAGGTGGTATCTCTATGGAAGTAGATTGCCCAGTCTTCCTTCTGAGGAACGGCTGGTGGGTTTGAAGCGCCAGCCTTCTGGTTAGCAGTCAACTGCTTTAGGCACTATGCCACCAGAGCTAAATACATGGGATCAAATTGACAACAGCAATTGGAAAGATCAAACAAAAATCCTAGAGGCAGTGAGTTTATGTTAATAGGGGAAGAACAACTCAGAAAAAGGTGAGAATAGCTGCACAACTCCAAGAATGTGATCAGTGTCATGAAGAAATGGCCGAATTGGTATAGGTCTTGCTCTGTGTACTGTCAATAACAAAAAATATAAATAAATAAAATGAAGCAGAAAATAATTCTCCTAAAATTAAGTACAAAATAATTCTCCTAACAGTATGCTAATGAGTTTCTAAATTTGATAAAATATGTATACAATGTTTCATGCAGCCTCCAGATGTGGGACTACTTCCCGAGCGTTTCTGCTTTACCTGTCACTGTATCGGGCGCACCAGTGTTGCTGCCTCGCTGAATGAGTCTAGCTGCAAAGCTATTTTCGTCAAAGGATGTTCCATTTACCACAGGGGTGTCTTCAAAGGGGTTGACAGACTGGTCAGGAGACACAGTGATGTACTGCACTGCAAGCCACAGAGCTGTGCTGCCCTCGTGGTCTTTCAGCTCTAAATCTAACCTGAAATACGGAAGAAATGTGAGCAACAAAGATAATCTTCAGACACTGTACTGCCAAGAGCTTTATATTTGCTCTTCATACATTTTCAATAACAAATTTTGCTTTTGCTTTCACTTATTAAAATGTATTAACACTGAAAGGTGTTCTAAAGGAATTATTTTTCACTCACAATCCCACCCTCACAACTGCTTTTGCATTTCTCCACGTTTCCCTACGTACTGTTTGCACTGCAGCAGCTGATTGAACACATGTTCATTTCTGGCCATGATGGACACATGTAAAGGAGTCCTACAGGATGGAAAAGAAGAGATGTCAGCTTAGGGCAGGCTCAACCCCGATGACTCAGCAGCAGGTGACTAAGAATCCTTGCAAAATCTTCATCCATAAGAAATTCCACATTTCTGCAACAGGGATCACTTTCTACCATGGCAAACAAGCTTTCCAAAATCATGACCAAGTATCAAAGTATGAAAACAGATTCATTCATATGTTACCATTTATTCAAGGGCCAAAGAGGCAAGAATCTATAAAAGGAAAGATATAAAACACTCTGCAATTCAACACTGATGCTTCACTGAATGTGTATACATATATTAAAAAAAAAAAAAGCAGTTTCTACCACAGTACGCGTAGTCGCTATGAGTTGGTTCCGACTCAATGGCACATAACAACAACAACAAAATCCTCTACCAATTCTGAAAAGAACCACCCACCCCCAATAATTCCCTGTTATACTCAAATACAGAGTAGTAATTGCCTTTCACTAGTGATTGATTAAAGTGGTATTTAACCACTCTTTGCTGCCTTTACTTGGCCTTCAAGCCCTAACAGAGATGGCCACTGCAGGGCACAGGGACCCCAAGGCTGGCATCTATCTCAGACAGAGAGATTGCCAGGGTTTACTGCAGTTGGGACACGGGGGGGGGGG